GTTCCTAGAATGAAAAAATAGAGATAAAAATTGCATTTTTTTCCTCAAAAAACAAATAAACATTGTACCTTTCGCTTAAGCCACCAGGGCGGTGCCAACGAGGAGGATCGAACTTGATCCCCCTCATCGCGGCGACCTCCAAAATATCCATGTTCTCCAAGCTCATATCAGGTTCTCCGAACATCATGACGAGTAGTTCCATATAATCAGTTAGGCTTAGGGTTTCCATTGTTTCGTCGTCGTTTGGGGGCCCGGGGTCGAAGGGGCCCATCATTTTGTCGTACTGGAAATGAGAGTGAGAGTGAGAGAGATCTGAGAGAGAGGAGGAAGAAGGAGAAGATCTGGAGAAGAAGAGGGGTATTTTGGGTTTTTTTGGACTTTATTTTCTTAGAAATTGTAATAAGGGCCGAATCACAAAGAATTTCTATTTTTGGGGCTAATACACATTAGAAAAAAGTACAGAGAGCTGAGACACGTCAAGTTTTCAATTTTAGAGCCTTGAAGCAAAATTTTCCATGTACCAATGAATACGCATCCCCTTTCTCTATTAAAAAATTTGATGCTCTCAATTTGCGAGATAGAGCGGTGTCACTTGACCTTCATGCTTTTGGCATGAGCTTCGCTATTTGGTCTGAAACTTGTCAAATATATATTTGTACGTCTAAAGATTCCAAGACATTGAATATTGTGTTAGTGCAAAAGATACAAAGTGAGCGGCCACATCCTTGCATTTTCTCATTTTGATCCAAACTTCCTTATTGAGACCTGTAAAGATTAGATATGCATGTGTAAAGACTCTTTAAGAAATTAATATTGTGTTAGTAATGAAGATGGTGGTTGGTCTCTTCACAGTTGAGAGCGCGCATATAAATTAGTGTTACCGAGACCAAATAATTTTTCTACATTTAAGCATTTGTTTTTCTTTTTAGCGCTCTAAATAAAATAGAGAAGGTAATTAAAGGCCTCCTATAAATTCGTTTATAATATTATCACAGTCTAAAGGCTGCTCGTGCTGTCGTGCACGTCTCTTTGCTCGTCACACCTTTTTCTGTTCCTACTCCTAGGAACAACCTCATTTTTTAACAAACAATTTATGTAATTTTTCTCAAGAATGAAAGTGGGAGAGTAAATGAGGGAAAACCTTGGGTTTTATAGGCAAAAAGCTTAATAGTTAACAGTGAGACATTACTGAAAGGAAAATGACTTAAGGACCCAAAATATGGGACCAATGGAGGGGACAAGTGAGGTGTCCCCTCCCTATTGCATAATGAGTTGGTATATAGCCAACTCATTATGCAATAGGGAAAGTGAGGTGTCCCCTCCCTATTGCATAATGAGTTGGTATATAGCCAACTCATTATGCAATAGGGAGGGGACACCTCACATGTCCCGTTCCTTGGTCTCATATTTTGGGTCCCCGTAGCAACACTCAAAATGCTATCTGTACTATTTTTCTTACTACTTTGACGCTGCTGCTCACCAAGGAGTAAGAACCTCACTTGAAAATTGTATTGATCGATGACTTACCATGGCCCCACTCTTATGCGGGCTGTATTGCCAAAGTAGCAAAGAAAGTATACTATACTCGTTACTAATGAAATTGGGGCATCATAACATTTTTCCCTTAAGAGTAAGTCTGACCTCATAACTTCGTGTTGTACCCAAGTCCCATTGTCTGACCTTAAATGCATTTGGTGCTTAGCATATAACCTCCTGAAATATTTTGTTTTTAATTACGTAGGCTACTGAAATATTTTGTAAAAGAACATATGTTAATACATTGTCTCGGAAACTAATCTAAATTTGGAAAAGAACTTTCATATGAGAATTCAGAAAATGTAAAAGATAATATATGAAGTTAAAGATATTGGGATTATTTGGTTTATCTGGAGGATAGAATTAACAAATTATGGTACAACCAATATCCATTCAAAAGCTTATCGGGGATTTTGAATTATGATAATGCTTTCTACTTTCAGTATCACGCTATTTATCCAAACATAGAGTTTTAAGTTTAAATATTAAGAATTATGATGAATTTGATACCGATTCAAGTGCTTTCCCAAACTTTATAAGGCATAATCAACATTATTATGAACACTTTATACTCTGCCAAACAAAAAAGAGAATACATAAAATTCTAAACCTGTGTTTCTCCCTTGGTTCTAACATTCTCTCACACGAGATATAAGCTGTCTTATAATATTACATAAACTAACAATTGCTAGAGGCTAAACTCAAAAAGGAAGTAACAGAAAGAACCAAAAGCAATCTGTGAGATTTTTTTTATAAAAATTATCAATTTCTAAGTACGCACCTCCAACATGATACATTGTGATGCAAGCTTCGCCAACTCCATATTCAACTTGCGATATTTTATGGTGAACCAATTGCGCCTAAAAAGAAAAGCAATGTACTTTACAGACCCAGCAGTTGCTTACCCAGAAACAGAAGTAGCAGAAATCCATGCTTGAAAGAGGCCATACTCTCTAATACTGCAAAATTTGATAAAGTTCAGCAAATCACATGAAAAATCATATTCATCATGTACTGTTAGACAGCATTTGAACAAAACTTTAGGTATCGAAACGGGATAGCTGAGAAGAAGCAGTATATTATATCGCCAGCTAAGCGGGCAACATCTAACGCAATCATGCTCCATATGCAAAATGAAAATGATGACTGACTGTAAAGGCATTTACCTATAAATATTTTTTGGATCAAATTCAATGAAAAGATTGGCATAGAAGCGGAAACCATCAGGGCTGATGTCTCTACACAAGAGTCCTGAAACAAATATTGTTTAGTGATTAACCTAAAGGCTGCAAGAAAGAACCAAACTTTTGAGGATATAAATGCATAATTCAATCTTGTGCATGCACCTTTGGTTTCAGCAGTAAGCAGGTGTTCCTTTGCTAGAGCCGGTGCTATTCCTAGTGTGAGTGCAGCATCGCTCGGGCTTATTCCTGTACGAAGCGCATCTGGTTTTTCTGCAAGGGATTTGATTCTTGCAAAGACCTGCATAAAACAGAGAAGTTCCGAAATATTAAGAGGGTGTTTTGGAAAGACTTATTTTAAAAAGCTTATAAGTTATGTTGGCTTTTAGTTGCTTTTAGCTTTTATGATAAAAATACTATAAAAATAATTTGGGTAGAATAGTAATTTGTTTGGTCAAACTTAACTTATACAGGTGAGCTTATAAGCTAGTTTTCTAAAAGCCGGGATACACCAGCTTTTGAAAATGACACTTATAAGCTAACTTATTTATAACTTTACCAAACGGGTAGAAATGAAAAAGCTAGCTTAAAAGTTAGTTTGACCAAAAAATAAGTCTCCCCAAACACCCTCTAACTTATAGAGCAGAATTATCCATAAAGGACATAAATATGAGATGGTATTGGTATGAACATGGTAAATCATAAAAGCCAAGGTTACTGATGCATCATGGATGTAACAATAACAAGTTGTACATGTGTTTTATGTTGATAATCATCACAGATTTTTAAGGCTAGAAGGTTGAAAGAGTAAAGGATCTGGGATATTATTGAATTATTATTCAAGTATATACTCAATAATAATGTGAATAGCCATGCTCTTCGTACACAAAAGTAAAATACATAAAAGTGCAATATCAATTAAATAGATTGTGAACTAATCATTCCTAATTATTAACTATCTCGATCAGGATTCATCTCCGAAATGTACTTGATAAGCTAGAAAGTGCAGTAACAGTAAGATACATTAACAAAAGAATTCAACGCGTATCCATGTATTGAAGTAAGCATATATGGATTATGGATATGTGTAATGACTACCTCTTCTTCGTCAAAGAATCCATGCAACAAAAGCCAGTCTAATATGCAGTAGTTGATAGAAAGTATAGGGCCTATAGGCACCAGTTCATGAATTAGGGATCATGACTACAAAATAAATAAATAAATAGTACCTCCTCGTCACTGTGAGCCTTGTTCTGAATGACCATTACTCCACTGTCAAACTTCCGAAGCATGACAGGGCTGCTCGGAGACCATGAAAGAATTAGTTACTACCATTGCTACAGAAACTACTAGCTAGCAAACACATTTGAAGATTCATAACATTTGGCATTATCTTCTTAGTGTCAGCCGAAAAATAGTAGCTGAACCTGAAAAGGGTTGAGAGTTCTTTCGTGCATACACATCAATTTTCTCCCAAAGAGCACAAGCTTGTAAAAGATCCTCAGGTGAAATCAATTCTGTGATAGCAGGAAGAAGGATAAAGCAAACTAAAAGAATAAAAAATAAATTGGCAAATTTAAAGCATACATACCTGTCCCTCTGGCACGATTAAAAAGACAGTAAATATCTATCACCGCCATCATTCCTCCAGCTTTCTCAAGTGGTAATTTGACAAAATCTGCTAACTGTTAATTAGAGATTTATTAAAGAAAATTGTTCTATGCAGCTTTCGTTAACTTATAATCAAGAAGCATGTATAGCTTTATTACAAACTGAATAAGATTGCTAACAGAAATAAATAATATGTGACTGCACTTTATCTAGCTAAGTACCTAGTCAATGAAAGATTAGAGTGAATTAACAATTTCTTCTTAGTAGGTCAACTAATAATTTAAGAAGTTTACTTGTAAGCAGCATATAAAGTTGGAAACAAGAAACACCATGAGTTAGATACAAGTGAACCAGAGGACATCTGATGATCTGCCTGACAGAGTTTTTGATAGGCATTGATTGTACTAATTTCTCATGATAAGATAATTTTCACTGCATGACAACCCCAATCTGTTTAAATTGGTAAGTTATTGCTGTTGAAATTGGCAATTTATTTATACAAGCGGCATTATAATAATTTGCTATGCAAGGATAGTAAGGAGTCCCAGGTCACGTCTTCATGACTTCTTATGTGAAGATAGTAAGGAGTTACCAGGTCTTGCTTTAATGACTTGACATCTTAGTTGGCCTTTAACCATGCGAAGCAATGGAAAGCATGCATTTCATGAAAGCCCTGATCAGACTTCACTGTATAAATAAATTGCCCTGATCAGACTTCTTATGTGAAGATTGTACTAATTTCTCATGATAAGATAATTTTCACTGCATGACAACCCCAATCTGTTTAAATTGGTAAGTTATTGCTGTTGAAATTGGCAATTTATTTATACAAGCGGCATTATAATAATTTGCTATGCAAGGATAGTAAGGAGTCCCAGGTCACGTCTTCATGACTTCTTATGTGAAGATAGTAAGGAGTTACCAGGTCTTGCTTTAATGACTTGACATCTTAGTTGGCCTTTAACCATGCGAAGCAATGGAAAGCATGCATTTCATGAAAGCCCTGATCAGACTTCACTGTATAAATAAATTGCCCTGATCAGACTTCTTATGTGAAGATTGTACTAATTTCTCATGATAAGATAATTTTCACTGCATGACAACCCCAATCTGTTTAAATTGGTAAGTTATTACTGTTGAAATTGGCAATTTATTTATACAAGCGGCATTATAATAATTTGCTATGCAAGGATAGTAAGGAGTCCCAGGTCACGTCTTCATGACTTCTTATGTGAAGATAGTAAGGAGTTACCAGGTCTTGCTTTAATGACTTGACATCTTAGTTGGCCTTTAACCATGCGAAGCAATGGAAAGCATGCATTTCATGAAAGCCCTGATCAGACTTCACATAAATAAAGAACTGGAGACATCTTTATGTAATTTGAGTTTCATATGACTAAGAATAATCTTTCACCATCATCCAGTTCTAAGAATAATCTTTCACCATCATCCAGTTCTATCCTCCTAATAACCACTAATTGATTCCACCATCTATCCAAATTTCACTTTGGCTGACTTTTCTCGTGGTAGTTCCAAACAAAATTTCGATCAAAATAATCTGTCTATAGATTCCCTATGATCCTCATATGAAATTGTTAACATGCCTTATTATGTCGAAGATCTCACGTTTGAAAAGGTTTTTGTTTTTTAGTTTTTTATTTTGTTTTTTATTTCTTTGTTTTTTTTTGTTTTGTTTTTTTTTTGTGTCACCAACTTATGTCACCCTTATTCAGACCCTAAACTACAACTTAGCTCTCTCTAGCAAGTCCCTTTGTTCCAACAAACTGGACTATTAAGACCACAAGTATGTGTCAACTGTAAACTCAACCGTCACAAATTAGCCTTGAAGATGTCCTAGGTGTACGAAATATAAAATTTACATAAGAAATTGTTAGTCTAGCATGGGTTGGAATATCTTTCAGAGAGCTGACATTTAAAAAAATAATCATGCCTGTTCATCTAAGTCATGGATAAAGTGCATACTCGTCCACTCCTTCTACCAGATATGAAAAAAAATTATGACTAAAGGATTATCAGGTTGCTCCAAAGAAATCAACAGAAAAAAAATTCACAAGTGCAAAGAAAACCTGTCGCGATAATTGCTGATGATACATAGCGCCAGCCGATTCCTTCGTAACTGGTGATATGATACCAATACTCAGCATCCAATCTTGCATCTCTTGCTTCGAACCCATTTCTTCCTCACCAGCACTCGCTTGAGAAGTCGAGCCCGATAACAACTTTAACCTCATTTTTTCTGCTAGCATCACCATCTCCTTAGCTTTACTCTATAAAAAGATTAGCCTTGTAAGTACATCCATAGAATGGAAATAGATCTGAAGGAAGAAACAGCATAACTATTCCATTTAAAAGCATGTGAAACAAAACACAATTCAAATGTAATCCACTTTAAGTTAAAGGGTACTGTTTACAATCTAAACCTGGAAGGATTTCAATATATAGGCAGGCCTACTAAACTAAAACAATTTACAGAAAAAAAATGAAGCATTTATCTCAAGTTTTTAGAGTCGGCTACATGAATCCTACTCTTCCACTCAATTATATTGAGGGTCATCTCCTCCGTTAAGTTAAGTCACTCTGATGACTTCCTTCACAACTTCTAACGAAATTCTCTTAGCCTCTTCCTTTCTTCATTAATTATAATAATATTTTTAATGGTCACCGTTGTTCATGACCGAACCATCTCAAATGATTATCTCCCATTTTATCCTTAATAGCAGCAACTCCAACTTCTTTAAAATGCATTTCAGTCCTTATCCTATATCTTAGTGTATGTCCTCTTGTTCGTTGTAACATTCTCATTTGTAATGCACTCATATTTTGGTACTATTTAAAACAATTGATAAAGCTACTAAAAATTCCCTTCTAACTGAAGACCAATCCCTTCACTGAATTCTATAAGATAATCAAAGGTAACAGCTCAAAATCCTGAGTTTCCATTCATAGGCACTGAATTTAGCACTCACAGTGTGAATGAAATGACAATGCAACTACTCTACTCGATAATATCCAAAATTATTATTATTTTCCAAATCTCAGCCAAAATGAAGACGAAAACCAATCAAATTCCTCGAGAAGTAAGTAAATAAACAAGAATGGATCAGATACCATCAGGGCATTGAGATCCTGAAATGCCTCCAGCAAGCTCTTATCAGTGCTCTCCCAGCTCTCCTGCTCCTTCCTCAAAATCCCCGAAACCCCCACCACCGGAACCCTAATCCTCACCTCCTCGCTCACCCTCTCCTCCTCCTTCGCCTCCCTCTCCTTCTCCTCCACCTCCCAAACCCTAGCCCTCATCGCCTCCCAAAGCCTCTCAAAGAACACATCCAGATCCCCCTTCCCTCCTCTCAGCGCGATCGTCAGGATCTCGGATCTGGATCCGTTAAGGACCTGGATCCGGATCTTAGGACTGGAGAACATGGACTTGATCGACTTCTTTGGCGGGAAGGCGTGGACGACGGCGGCGAGGGGGAGGGACCGGGCCCAGGAGGAGGATGAGGCGCCGCCGGAGAGGAAGAGGAGGCGGTGGGAGGTGAGGATCAGGGTTTGGGATTTGAGGGAGGGGAGGCTAGGGTTTTCGTCGGGGGTGAGCTCGATGGGGCCCACGGTGGAGAGGTAGGTCTCGGAGGGGAGGTGGATTGGGCGGCCGGAGGGGGTTAGGGGGACCACCGGGAGGAAGGCGGCGGTGGGGTCCATGGAGAGGTGGAGGAGTCGGCCGGAGGGGGTTAGGGGGACCACCGGGAGGAAGGCGGCGGTGGGGTCCATGGAGAGGTGGAGGAGTCGGCGGACTCTGGGTTTTGTTTCCGGGGTTTTTTTTTTAATATATGTTTTTCATGGGCTAAATACCAATATTGTTATTTTAATTCCATCCCATTTACCAAGAATGTATTTTAATTAGGCAAACCTGCTTTAAGGTATTTTAATTGATTCAACTTACCGACAAGGCCATTTTTCTCGTCGGCGACCAGTTTTCCAGTGAGAGCTCGTCACGTGCGTGACACGTGATGACTTAAACTGTTTTTTAGCTGTTGATGTAGCACGGATTTTCTGACGTGACAGTGTTTAAAGGCGAGAATTAACACTCTAAAAATCCCAATTCACCCAAAATAGGACAGATCCGTGCCACATCAGCAGCTAAAAAACAGTTTTAAGTCATCACGTGCCACACATGTGACGAGCTCTCGTCGAAAAACTGGTCGCCGACGAGAAAAATGATCTTGTTGGTAAGTTGAATCAATTAAAATGCCTTAAAGTAGGTTTGCCTAATTAAAATATATTCTTGGTAAATCGGGTGGAATTAAAATACCAATATGGGTATTTAGCCGTTTTTCATGGGACTAATAAAGATGAAGATGACTCATGGCTACAAAGGTGCATACGGTCTGCATTCGGCCCCGATATGATATTTCAGCATGTGAATGCGGATATATCTATGTCTTCATAAAAAAATTGGGAATAATGCTTCCAGCCCTCAAAACCAAAGAAAATGTGCTTTCCCTTCCTAAGACTTTTTCAATGCTCTCAAAACCCCCGAATTTGTAACAACTATGCACTGAGCATCCAAAACACAAAGCCTAAGAAGTTTTCACAGGTAAAGACTATAATACCATTTATCTCTTTTATGGGTAATGATCAGCTGAGATGGGAGGTACGACGACGGGATTGAAAGAACAAGAGAAGGAGCCCAAGCCATCCAACCTCTTCATCAACATTGTCTTCTTCTCTCAACAGGGGCAGCGACGGTGGAGGCTACGGCGCTTCCTCGGACTCCGCCGCCAGAGCATAGCCGGATTTCCACCAAGTCCATCCTTCCCTCGATGTGGACCCGAAAAATGCAGCTTTGGTGGGCCCTAGTTAGAGGATTGGGAGGTCATGCTCTCAGACTCCGGCGTCGCCACTCCGACCGGCGGCGGAGGCCAAGACCCAAGCTTTCTCAGGTGGATCATGGACGATAACGTTGATGATGTCGGGAACAACGGATCGAGCTCGAGCCCAATCCTTTCGGAGCTCAGGCTAACAATTTTCAATCTCTGTCATTGCCAACGGCGACGATGATGAACAGCCTCAGTCTCCCTCTACCTCCAGTATTTTTACAAGTACCCATTAAAGAAAAAAACCTATCCATTTCAATCCAAATCTCATCCTCAACCATCACCAGCAGCTCCCACCATCACCAGGAGTCGGAATGGATCGGCTGCGGGAGTACGGTGGCGGGATTCGCCGGCGGTCACCGTGGCGGGCCTCTTTCGAGCTCGTGCAGCCCATTAAATACCAGCACTAAAACCTCTATTTTCCTCCTTTTGTTTCTCTACCTCTTCGTTCCTTTTCAACTCTTTAAATACCCGTTTTCATTTATGAATGAAGGATTGAAAGACGATGGAAAAATTAGTTCTCGTTGCTGCTCGCTGTGAGAGAAGGGAAAAATCTAAGAGATAACACTTGAGAAAATAGGTTCATTGCTTACCTTGTATTTTGATTTCTTCGTTGTTTTTACCGTCTCTTTGAGCACATATGTTTTGTTCGTATTTGAACGGGGCTTTCTTGATGTTCTTTGTTCAATGTTTCCATATCGCTTCGGTAGCTATGTTTCGACATTCGAGTAGAAAAAGGGAAAGGAGGATGTTATAGTCCCATATTCAGTTGCAACTACAGCGAACATGAAGCGCCCTTAGTCCTAATACAACAACAAAACGAGGAGCGTCAACTAATTTATTAAGAAGAGACTAATTAAAAAGCAAATTGTTGCTGCTTGCTTTCGGTCAATTAAGCTCACAGACTCCAGCTCAAACTAGATAACCATCATAGTTGCTTACGCGTTTATTGTTAAGGTTATACGCGTTGGTTGTTAAGGTTACGGTTAACCTTAACAAGCAACCCGTAACCTTAACAAACCCTGTAACCTTAACAACTAACACGTAACCTTAACAAGCAACACGTAACATTAACAACCAACGCTTATCCTTAACAACCAACACGTATAACCTTAACAACCAACGCATAAGCTTAACGAGCAACCCATAACCTTAACAAACGCAAAATCCATTTTTTTTCCTTTTCTCATTATTAAAAGAATTCTATGCAAAATCCCTCTAGATATCTGAGAATACTTTACCAAGGTTATTTTGGACTGCATAGGAAAAGTTGATAAATAAAACAAGAAATTGCAGCATACAACAACAAAACGAGAAGCCTCAACTAATTTATTAAGAATAGACTAATTAAAAATCAAATTGTTGCTGCTTGCTTTCGGCCAATTAAGCTCACAGACTCAAGCTCAAACTAGATAACCATCATAGTTGGTTGTTAAGGTTATACACGTTGGTTGTTAAGGTTACGTGTTGGTTGTTAAGGGTACGTGTTGGTTGTTAAGATTACGCGTTGGTTGTTAAGGGTACGCGTTGCTTGTTAAGATTACGCGTTGCTTGTTAAGGTTACGCGTTGGTTGTTAAGGTTATACGCGTTGGTTGTTAAGGTTACGGTTAACCTTAACAAGCAACTCGTAACCTTAACAACCAACGCGTAACCTTAACAAACAACCCGTAAACTTAACAAACAACGCTTATCCTTAACAACCAACGCGTATAACCTTAACAACCAACGCATAAGCTTAACGAGCTACTCATAACCTTAACAAGCAATTCTACGCAAAATCCCTTTTTGTTCCTTATTCTCATTATTAAAAGAATTCTATGCACAATCCCTCTAGATACCTGAGGATACTTTACCAAGGTTATTTTGGAATGCATAAGGAAAGTTGATAAATAAAACAAGAAATTGCAGTGTACAACAACAAAACGAGGAGCCTCAATTAATTTATTAAGAAGAGACTAATTAAAAAGCAAATTGTTGTTGCTTGCTTTCGGCCAATTAAGCTCATAGACTCCAGCTCAAACCAGATAACCACCACGGTTGATTGTTAAGGTTATACACGTTGGTTGTTAATGTTACGAGTTGCTTGTTAAGGTTACGCATTGGTTGTTAAGGTTACGCGTTGGTTGTTAAGGTTACTGGTTGCTTGTTAAGGTTACGCGTTGATTGTTAAGGTTACGGGTTTCTTGTTAAGGTTAACCGTAACATTAACGACCAACACGTATAACCTTAACCTTAACAAGCAACCCTTAATCTTAACAACCAACGCGTAACCTTAACAACCAACGTATAATCTTAACAACCAACGCGTAACCTTAACAAGCAACCCGTAACATCAACATCCAACGCTTATCCTTAACAACCAATGCGTATAAACTTAACAACCAACACATAAGCTTAACGAGCAACCCATAACCTTAACAAGCAATTCTACGCAAAATCCCTTTTTGTTCCTTATTCTCATTATTAAAAGAATTCTATGAAAAATCCCTCTAGATATCTGAGGATACTTTACCAAGGTTATTTTGGATTGCATAGGGAAAGTTGATAAATAAAACAAGAAATTACAGTAACAAAGTATGATCTATTTTCTCAAGTGTTATCTCTTAGATTTTTCCCTTCTCTCATAGCGAGCAGCAACGAGAACTAACTTTTCCTCGTCTTTCAATCCTTCATTCATAAATAAAAACTGGTATTTAAAGAGTTGAAAAGGAACGAAAAGGCAGAGAAACAAAGGAGGAAAATAGAGGTTTCAGTGCTGGTATTTAATGGGCTGCACGAGCTCGAAAGAGGCCTGCCGCGGTGACCGTCGACGAATCCCACCATTGTACTCCCGCAACTGATCCATTCCGGCTCCTGGTGATGGTGGGAACTGTGAACGCGAAAGTTCTATCAGGTAGGGGCCACACTCATTCACGTGGGTGTCTCAGGCTGTCGGGTTTTCAGGAGCAATTCAGCGAGGCCCACATAGGTTTGTCATCCTATAAATATCAATTAATTCCTAGGGTTTTTGTGGGCAATTGAGGGTGCGTGTGCAAGCCGGCAGAGAAGAAATAAAATTCGCCAGGTGCAAATGAGCTGTGTGCAAGGGCGGCGTGCAAAGAAAAAGAAAAGAAAAGGCAGAGTTCTTTTTCCGGTGCGCAAGTGCTGAGCATGGGAAAATTTGTGACGGGTGCAAAAGAAAAAGCAGCAGCTTTTGTTAGGGTTTGTGCATCCTTTTGTGAGAGAGTTTGTGTGAGGGATATGAGAGTTTGTGTGAGGGTTTAGGTTGTGAGTGATTGTAAACCCTTGTTGTATTATCTCCCTCTATTAGTAGATCTCCCCCCTCCTTGTCCCGTGGACGTAGATAATTTGTCGAACCACGTAAAAATTGGTTATCTCGCTATTTGTGTGATTTGTAATAGCTTTTAGGTTCCCTCGACAGGTTAGTCCTAGAACTGATGAGAGGAATAGCTGATATCTCACTTGGTTGAGATATTTTGCTTCAGATTCTTGTTTCCTTGGTGAGACGGGAATTCTTATTGCGACCTGACTCTCTTGTTGTGCTGCCGAAGTGCTGTAGAAATTTTTGCTGCGCGCAACAACTGCTGGTGATGGTTGAGGATGAGATTTGGATTGAAATTGATAGGTTTTTTCTTCAATGGGTTCTTGTAAAAATACAGGAGGTAGGGGGAGACTGAGACTGTTCATCATCGTCACCGTTGGCAATGACAGAGATTGGAAATTGTTAACCTGAGCTCCAAAAGGATTGGGCTCGAGCTCGATTCGTTGTTCCCGACATCATAGGTAACAGCTCAAAATCCTGAGTTTCCATTCATAGGCAACTGAATTTAGCACTCACAGTGTGAATGAAATGACAATGCAACTACTCTACTCGATAATACAAGAATCACAACACATCCAAAATTATTATTATTTTCCAAATCTCAGCCAAAATGAAGACTAAAACCAATCAAATTCCTCGAGAAGTAAGTAAATAAACAAGAATGGATCAGATACCATCAAAGCATTGAGATCCTGAAATGCCTCCTGCAAGCTCTTATCAGTGCTCTCCCAGCTCTCCTGCTCCTTCCTCAAAATCCCCGAAACCCCCACCACCGGAACCCTAATCCTCACCTCCTCCCTCACCCTCTCCTCCTCCTTCGCCTCCCTCTCCTTCTCCTCCACCTCCCAAACCCTAGCCCTCATCGCCTCCCAAAGCCTCTCAAAGAACACATCCAGATCCCCCTTCCCTCCTCTCAGCGCGATCGTCAGGATCTCGGATCTGGATCCGTTAAGGACCTGGATCCGGATCTTAGGACTGGAGAACATGGACTTGATCGACTTCTTTGGCGGGAAGGCGTGGACGACGGCGGCGAGGGGGAGGGACCGGGCCCAGGAGGAGGATGAGGCGCCGCCGGAGAGGAAGAGGAGGCGGTGGGAGGTGAGGATCAGGGTTTGGGATTTGAGGGAGGGGAGGCTAGGGTTTTCGTCGGGGGTGAGCTCGATGGGGCCCACGGTGGAGAGGTAGGTCTCGGAGGGGAGGTGGATTGGGCGGCCGGAGGGGGTTAGGGGGACCACCGGGAGGAAGGCGGCGGTGGGGTCCATGGAGAGGTGGAGGAGTCGAGCGGACTCTGGGTTTTGTTTCCGGGGTTTTTTTTTTTAAATATATATATGATTTCAGATAGTGGATATCATTACGTGGATTACTGCCGATATATAAACGGATATAAACGTTGGTACAAAACAAATATGAGAAAAATAAAAATATATATAGTTGATATGATTTATGAGAGTTTAGTAGTATGTTTGTTATATTTAAAAGGGATTTTTTTCATAAAGATCACCTTTAAAATAGAGTAAATAAAGAAGAATCACCTTTAATTTTAAGTTTTTTTTAACAGAAACTATCTTGCAACACACGCTCTAAGCTACCCATAAGGTTTTCACATATTACTCTCTCATATCTTCAAATTAGTTTCTGTCTCCTTTTCCTCAGATGTCTGCGGCTCCTTTTGAACACGTTCGCATTGGTTAAATGTCTACAGGCGTTGAGGGACTTTAGAGCAATTTCAATGATTGTGAGGGACTAAATCAAATTATTGGAAATACGAAGGACTAAAAGGTTAAAACCTTTGTTGAGTGGTTGAGAACACGTGCTAACGAAGCGTAATTAGCAAGGGTATATTATGGGGGAGAAATTGCACTAAAATGTGGTTGATTGAAAGCTAAACCCACTTATAAGGTAGTTTCTGCAATAAAAAAAGAACTTAAAAGATGGTTCTTATTGCTATTTTAAAGGTGGTTTTCATGAAAAAAAAAAACTACAACTAAAAACTGATATCTTGATCATTAAAATTAACTTCAAATCCATTAATCTAAGAACTAAAACTGACCAATGTATATTCGAATATTTTGAATACGGATACGAATATTTTTAGTTCCAAAAGTAATTTCTTTGCTTCAAATTAATTTCTCCTAAACCATATTAGGCTCAAATATCAAAATTATCAAGTAAACCCCGATTAATTTGGACCTTGAAAGGGTTTTGGTATCTAGTTCTAGAGATGGAAAACTAACTATTCAAGAGTTCACAAATCACAAATACTTCATGAGAATCTTAGTTAGAAGATTCCTACATTTAGAGAGAGCTTGAATTCGAGCCCCCACGCCACTAAGACTCAATCCTTTTAAGAAAAACCCAAGACGCAGTAGCGATGGGTAAATTTAGGGTGCTTTGTTTACTTTATGATATGGGAAAATTTGCAAAATAGACCATTTTTATGAAATATATAGCGAAATAGATCATTTTAAAAAATAATTAGCAAAATAGATATCTTTTAAAAAAAAAGATCGATTTTAAAAAACAAGGCTCAGAAAACATACGGGACTACTAGTCCAGTATGTTTTCTGAGTAGAAAATTTCACTAATCCGTGATTAAAACATACGAGACTACTACTTCCGTATGTTTTCTGAACGGTTTTGCAAAATAGACTTCTTTTTGGCTTGTTGGCCAAAAAGATGTCTATTTTGCTAATTATTTAGCAAAACGGTCTATTTTGCTAAATAATTAGCAAAAACGGTCTATTTTGCAATTTTTCCCTTATGATATTGGAGGGGATCAAATTGTCAAATGTAGGATTGCAAGGTGATCGAAATTAGATTTGAACCCTGTTGATTTTCTATGACCCGAACCCAAAGTTAGACCAATTGTGCGCCTAAAATGTCTCTAACGTAGACCCTTTTAACTCCAACGGGATAAGATCAAATCTAAATTTGCTAGTTTTAATCCTATCTGCGCGTTTTTTTTATTTGAGAAAAAAGGATTAATCCTAGAAAATTTAGATTCAATCCTTCGAAATCCCAACATATCTGCAAGATCACTACAAAATGTTAGTTAAAATAATTCAATATCGAATAATAAATATCACTTGTACTTAGGGGTGCACTCGGTCCGGATACGGCTCAGATATGATGCTTACCATATCCATATACGTTTACTCATCTTGGATACAGATATACCTCGGTAAGGAAAATTTATAACCATATCCGCTAAAATCGGACACGGTTACGAATTTACATGCAGATATATGAGCGTATATGCATGCGGATACAAAACGGATATGAGAAAACTAGATAGTAAGAAGAAAAACATAGTTCATGTGATACAAAAGAGTTCGTTAATATGTTCATTATAATTGAAAAGTTAAGATTAGACGTATTGTTCATCAAAATTAATCACAAATGCATAATCTAAAAATCGAAACTATCGTAAGAGTATGACTAATATGTAATCGGATGTTTCGGATACGGATACGGATATTTCACTACAAAACCATATCCGTAACCATATCCTATCGGTTATAGATTTGAATAACCATATCAGTATCCTAACGGATATGATTACGAATATTTCCTTGGATACGGATACGGATACGGTTTAGCACCCCTAGTTGTAATAGGTTCGAGTCCAGCCCGATCCACAAATATCCAAAGTGAATATTGATATCAACGTAGACCAGTATCGGGTTATCATAACCGACCCGATCGACTTTTTTTAATTTTCTAAGCATAATTTTCTTTTTGAAAAATACCAAAATATAAAAAATCAGTTAGTATTGTTGGGATCCATTATCTCGATGACAGAAACTAAAGCAATCTCATCCCACTATTAAAAACAAAATTAAACAAACTTAGTGTAAGCCTCCTTCGCAAAACTACCTCCAAAATTTTTTCTTCTCCCCTCATCACAAACAATATCCCTAAAAAAAACCAAACAAAAAAAAAACTCTCTTTTAAACCCTTGTTCATTGATTATGAAGCCTTAGAAAAATCCATATTCACATTTTTCTTTTGAGAAAAATGATGAGTAAGAAAGAGGAGGAAAGGAATGAGAAGATAATTAGGGGTCTTATAAAATTGCCTCCTAATAGTACTTGCATAAACTGCAATAGCCGGGTAATTTTATAATCATATTATTATTCTTTTGAATTTTATTGATATTTAATTTTATTTAATTTTGTTATTCTTTGATATTCTTCTAAGTTTACAGGGTCCTCAGTATGTATGCACAAATTTTTGGACCTTTGTTTGTGTTACTTGCAGTGGTATACAGTAAGTAGTATTTTCTTACCCCTATCAGTTCTTGTGAATTATACAGATCTTATATTTTACACAATATATATGAGTGATATATTTTTTAAATACATATTCTCATTATGGGTCTTTGGAAAATCCATAATAAAGGAATTCTCCAGTTTAGGATTTATAACCAGGTTGCCTAATATACAGGATAATGTATTACTCATATGCTCAACTCCCTGCATATTTGCTTAAATTATTTCATTTTATGTTATTAAAGCAAATATAATGTTTTTTGGTTCAAAATCTGAAGTGGGTCTAAAATCCGATATGCATATATGATAGATAATCTAGTGGAATCCTAGATGCATATATGATACAAAATCTGAAGTGGGTCTAAAATCCTATGTGCATATGTTGGAGTGTAAATAAAATTAACATATACATTTAGGAATATTTCTATGCTGTTGCCTATTTAGGGCGCTATTTTTGTTAATTTGAACTTTGTATTTTTTGTTATAACAGCCGTGAATTCACTCATCGTGTGAAATCAGTATCCATGGCTAAATTCACCACACAAGAAGTTCAGGCTCTTCAAAAGGGTGGTAACCAGGTGAATTTAAAAATAATAATAATTTGAAGATTTTTTATATAAATTTATCTGTTTTCTATTTGATGAATATAGTAACTTTACATTCTTAACTTCTCATAGTTGTTTACATTTCGTAGCGTGCCAGAGACATTTTCTTCAAATCCTGGGATATGCAAAGTATTAGATTTCCTAATAACAGGTAATGAAATGGATATAGTTAATTTAGGGCATTTTTTTTCAAAATTATAATGTTGATTAGATGTCTAATCTTACTTTTTTTTTGGCAGCAATGCTGATAAGATTAGAGAATTCATAAATGATGTCTATATACACAAGAAATATGCCAATGAAGGGTCTTCTGGCAAATTACCTAGCAACATGGAGGTAAGTTTAGCTAATACAACATTTTAATTTTAGCTTAGTGACATTTATATGTCGGAATGTTCTTTTTCTCAACAGAAGCTTAATATCAATGAAGAAAATGGAATCGAAGCTAGTTCTCATCATTCTTCTCAAAATCCACAACATCAGCATGAAGATAATCGAATCGGGAGAAGTCCAATTATTAAGCTTAGTGAAAGTCAAGTTTTGGATCAGGGGTTTTTTGACAGGATAATCTCTGGCGCTGTTGATTATGTTGCCAATGAAAATTCGAGTTCCAACTTTTCAGACCACTCAGTTACTAGTAATGGCGATCCATTGTCGCCATATTCACAAGACGTTGGAGATATCAGTCCTGAGTTAGTGAAAGAAAATGTTGAAAGGAATTCCAATGAGAGATTTTGTCACAAAGTTAGTGATATTCTTTTAAATTTCAACTTATGCTAGCACTTAAATACCTTATATTTTCCCCTACTTAGTACTTATATAACCTCAATTGTTTTAATAGCGTATGTTTTTATGGCACATTAATACCTTAATAATACCTTATGTTATGCAAATGTGAAAATATACCTTTGAATTTTTCTAAGTGGCATTCAGATGCTGACTTTAGCATGTGAGCATCGAATGGAAATACTCGGGGGATATTTTCACGTTTATAACAGTAGTTAATGAAGTGTCAATTTTAAAATTTTCAGGATATATAAGTGTTGCCAGAAGCAAGTGACGGTATATAAGTGCAAAATGGGGTAAACTATAAGGTGTTATTTAAGTGCTAATTAGCCTCTAAGCTTGTGGATCTTATGATTTTCTGTACTATGTATGAATGATCAACTCTTTCTTTAATCAGAGAACTGTCTCTTCAGGCGGATTTGAATCTAGTTCCAGAAGCTTGGAATCATTTAGATCAACTGCAGAGTCATTTCTATCGACTTCAGAATCATTTGTAACAGCTTCAGAATCATTTCGATCACATTCAGGATCGTTTTTAATGAATGATGACGTAGGAGATACAGATTTGAATGGAGCCCAGAAAACACCAGTGTCAACTTCTATGAATGCTAATGATGGGGACTTGTTTGGTGATATTTGCGATGATAAGCCTTCGGTCTCTGGAAATGACGAAGAATGGGCTACATTTGATGAACATGATCCTTTTGGATTTCTTATTGAAAGAAGTGAAAGACCTGAAACTAAAGATAAAGATAATTCTCAGTGGTTTTCATTTCCAAACTCTGTGTATTCTGATCCTTTTCTGTCAAGTAGTAATCAACTGGAAATTGATTTACAGGTAAAACTTCATCATTTGATGCCATGGCTAAAATTATTTCGTTAGTTGCCTTATTGTTCATAAAAAATTTGCATTTTGCAGTCGTGGCAGGCATTCAAAGACTCTTTTGAGAACAAACCCCAAAATGTATTTGAAAATCTTGACAGGAATAATCAACTACATATTCCAGTCAATGATTTACATAGTGGGCTTCAAATATCAGAGGTATTGGTATGTCCAGTGATCTCAGGGTGGTTCTTTTTTTTTTTTAGTTTAATAGTTTTGATCTTCTTGCAGAAACCTTTCGATAATGGATTTCAAAGATCATTATCTGTTGATAGCCTTAATCTTCCGTCAATTAATATCTCAAAAACATCATTTCCTCCATATATTCTACCTCCAATGGTTCGTAACTTTCTAAATCACTTTCTTATAAATATGATATCCAAATATTTTGCCCATTTCAGTGTATCACAGTCTACTGTGTATATTTTAAATTTTTTTGGCCTATTATCATGCATATTCAGTCACATGATAAAGAGTGGGAGATGAATGCATCATGCTCAAAATCAAGCTTCATTATCCACTCAGTTCGTGACAAATATTTTTAATGCAATATAACTCTCTCTGTCTCTCTACGCATAGTATATGTAAAAAAGAACATCAAGATCATACATAAACCTCATTAACTAAAATTTGTTTTACTTCACAGGAAAAGATGGTTCATCCAGGCAAATCAAGAAATCCATTTGATTTACCATATGATTTGGATCCGGAAGCCGACAATAAGGTATGACTCAATATCAGAATTTTCATAATTAAACGTCCAATAAAGAAAGTTATTTTAACTTGACAACAATCCTTATTTGGCTTATTAATTTGTAAGAGGGTGATACATGCAAAGGATTAGATCAGTTTACTATGTTTTTTTTGTACATCTGAGGCCATGGGTCCTAATATCAATCAACTTGATAACTTTGAAAATATAAAAGTCCAATACGAAGTGGTTGTTTTCAAATGAACTACGAAAAGAACTTACTGAAACTAATATTTCCTTGGATTAATTATTGTTGTATATACATGTTTGCTATTTCTCCAAACTTATATTGGCAGAATCTAGACAAAAGTGTTACAGGTTTTCATATTCAGAGAAACTTAATTAGACAGAAGAATGGCTATTGAAACGGGATTTATTCAGCATTTGAAGCAGGGTTATGTGGAAGTACATTGTCATATCATATTTTCAATTTCAAGTTGATAACTAGTTATGAAACTTAGGTAACTCTTCCTTTCAAGTGAACACAATATCTATGAGAAAAGGCACGGATGGCAATGATGATGAGCTGAATGTTTTCTTTGTACGGGAGCTTTTGCGAAACAACGAGAACTCTATGCTTCTGCTAAAAATGTTTGAGCATGTCTCTGCAGTTAAATAATAGCTTTCTGTCCAATTAAAAGTCAAGTGTTGTCATAAATATTTTCCCTGCATTATTGAACATTGCCCTTCATATGCAAACTACACCTCTCAGCGTACCAGCAATACAATATGCTGTTATATGAAGTCGTTACTTCTAAATAATTCCCAATTTATACCTAAACCTGACTGTTTTTTGTGCAGTTTTTCGATATGAGCTCTCTACAAACAACAATACCATTTCCAGGGGTGCCTACTCCTCAACAATGGTCACCTCAGAGTTCCAACATCCAAGGTAAGTGCTTTGTTTGCAATAACTGTTGCTTCATAATTCTTAGCACTTGTATCAAAATTTTGGCTTTGTGTTTACCTTATCACGTTGAACATTTTCAATTTTCCAGGTGTACCATACGTGGAAACTCAAGAACCTAGTTCTATGTTCTCGTAAGTTGCTTCCAGAAGCTTATTTGATTCATACTTGATTTATGCCTTCATCTCTTGAATGGTTTATTGTGATATTATCAGAAATGCACAAGGCACTAGCACATCTCGTCATGGGAATCCATTTGCTTAGACAGACATCGGCCAAGGCAACGTGATCGCTGCTATTGATACCATGGATGCTTGCAGGTTTTGATAGTGCACTGACAAAACCTGTTTCCTGGTACACGAGACACGCGAAGCTGTAGAAAAGTTTCAAAGCAAGACGATCGGGAGGCATGTATCATGATGAGACTTTGAATTGCGTTACTATAGTGACATTAATTTTTCCACTGTTTTGAGTAGTATGTTGTTGTTTACATCAACACCGTCGCATTGAACAACTGTATGAAGTTACAGATTCAGTTACAGATTCCCTCAGCGAATAGATCAAGCCTTCTTTTTTCTTGCCATTTTTAATGTGTGCCCTTTTAACCTGTTACCTACAAGTCAAAACGGCTCATGTAACCTAAAACACAAACTCTATAGCGCGCGAGAAGCGAACTTGTGTTGCATAGTCCAAGTAACTTTCTGTTCTACTCTCAAGCGCAAAGCAGAGGCAATGTGGGGAATGTGTTGCATTACCCAAGGCTAGTTTCCTAATTTATTAACAGTATATTTTATGTTCTGACGAGTTTGAGGCATGTTATGTACTACATTTGATATTTACATATCACCACAACGAGGGAGTGACTAAAGTTCGTTATTTTATTAAAACAAGGCCCTAAAACAAATGCATTTTATTTGAAATAAGATGGAGACCAAAAGTTGGTTAAATGATAATTGAAATGACAAAGCTTAATCAGTCTAAATTCACCCAACAATGCAATACTTCTGTGTATTCTCCATTACAAGTTGCTGTCAAAAATCCCTTTTTGGTAAAGAATTCATCAAGCTTATGCTTTCAATACTAGAAAATAACTGAAGACGCCCAGATCAAAAAGCCCAAACTACAATCGCACTGATTCATAAGAAAGGGATGAGGATGGCACAGCAATGACCCCTGTTTAAGGTTGAAGTCACAGCCAGCTTCGGACATCGCAGGGTAAAATTCCAAGCGCAAGCATGCGGAAAATCTATGATTTAGGAACCTCCTTATTTTACCTGCAGCAGCAAAAGCAACATCATTAAACCATAGGTAAACAACTAAAACATTTAGTGACTCGTTGGTTGCTTCAAAATTCACAAGGCCCTATCTTCCAATTCTCCATTCGCAGATTGAAATAGGCAAAACTGAAGCTCCACCCAGTGCACATTTATACTAATTATTTGCTATTCATAAATTTATGCAGTGCATAAAATTGAATGGTTATACATATAGGTTTGTGGACCCCACAAATTTGGGATGAACGCGTCACTACAGGTTTGCCAACAGTAATTCAAAAATAACATAACATCTAAGACCTCCAGCGTTTGTTATGTAAACTATTCATAGTATGAAGTTTAAAACACAAATTGTTAGGAAATAAGATATTAATGTCAGCAAGATCGATCTTGAGAGGAAGTTTGGAGGAAAAGGAAAAGAAACGGAGGAAGAGGAGGACAAAGAAGCACAAAATTCTAAGGTAAGCTAGAGCTGTTTCATTGGCCTGATGCAGAGTAAAACTTGCATAAAACTAGGAAAGTGGTTCTCTTTTGGTTCAAGAGGAAAATGAGAAAGGCAACAAAATCACAGAGGTCCTCCCTCTTGACCCTGTGTAAGTGAAAGAAAGTAGGGCAACCCAAGTTTCACCAGGCATAATTCAACCATGACAAGATCAGCCCATCCAACAAAAGGCTGTTTGAGCATCAAGAAGAATAAGATTACCTATGAGTTGCTAGGTAGTACTCACCACCAAATTGCAAGAATGATTTAATTACCTATTTCCTTTCTGTTTCTGTTTCTTAAAACACCCAATCCCCACCACTGCCACCCAATCCACCAATACATTATACAAATACGACAAAAGAAAAACACTGCTTTTGTGAACACTCAAAACTCAAAACGACAACAAAATACACCAACTGCCTAATAGCTAAAAAATTTAGCATAATTGGTGAAGAAAAGATTACCTAGTGCTCCACGATCATTGCTGAAGTATCATTCATATTAGCATCCAAATTAAGACCACTGGAAGGCATTTAAAAGTGTCAAGTAAGATGTAAAACTATGAAAGGAAACAAACCCGAGAAAAATTAGAGGAAATCATACCATTCTGCAGCTTCTAGTCTCAGTTGTTCTATACGATTCTGGATCTCAGCACACACGGTCTCTATCTCTATGTTTTTCTCACAAAGTTCCCTCCATTCAGTAGACAGAGCATTAAGTTGTACGCCTGTACTTTGCTGATAACACCTTCATATGAGAAAATATGGAACTTGCATGCACACAAATGATAATCCAAATGGCATTATTTAGGTTGAGATTTAAAAAAAAATCACCTGGTGATATTTCCTCTCACGGTTGACAGCTTCTATCCTTTCATTGTATTCTGACGCTGTAGCTTGCATCCTGGTGAGGAGAATATAAAAATGATTCACCAAATAAAACTCTCTAGTTTCTTCATGATGTGAGGTCTATTTTAGTCTAGTATGAACCTGATCATGAATGAAGAGATACAAAGTTCATGTGATTAAGGACAATCATATGCACCAAGTGTACAAACATCCATAATTCCTTTATTGGGCATCTAGAACTGTAAATCAACGTAGAACGAGACTGATATGTTGATTCAACACATATTAATGTAATTTTTAGAATTTCGGTTTTCAAAATTACAATGTTCAAACAATGGCAGCTGACATAACAGTCAGGGTATCGTGAATTTGCAATCAGCTTTCTGCCTTCTGGTTGAACTTACAAGAATGTTCAATGGAGAGAATCTCTATTCGGTAAAAAGCTGTAAATAAGAAATATGTTCACCTTGACAGCAACAATTCCATTTGTTTGTTATGGAGTTTCCATACATCAGCGCCATGTTTCAGCATCAGTTCAAGATTCTCCATTCTGACATAGCAGTTAGTTCAGTCAGAACACATGCATCAAAACATTGCATTTGCATCTCTTCTAACAGCTATAATCATGCAAAGCATAAAATTTATATAATATGCAGGATAAGGGTCAGACATGGTAACTGTCAGTCATCATGTCCACATTGACTGGTTCTACTGTGACGAGTTCAATTAGACAAGTGGTCATGTATAAGAAGCGAAAAAGACCATAATAGTTTGTGAACACTGGTATACGCGTGTATAACCAGCATCAAATGATTATGCACTTGTCCGCTAATAGAAAGAAAACTATTTGATGTGGTTGTCACTCACATACTTTTATGAACACACAAAAACAGGATAGCGAAGTTTGTTTTCTAACACTAGTATCACAAATTGTATTTCAAAAACTAGTCCATACTTAGTTGCAGGTGGATGACTATGCCATTCAGAAAATTAGATATAATAATCTTAGAACTGAGATATATACAAATAGTTTAAAAATGCTATGGGTCCATCTGGATAGCAAACAAAAGTTGTTTTTCTTGCATAGGTTTTTGATTGATGCATATTTAGCTGACTCTACCAGGATTCTTATCAATCTGAATGGCAAAATAAAACTGATAAAGCAGATGTGTGAGCTGTATTTCATAAAAATAATCTTTCATTATAGTAAAATTTCCACCAATGTAACAGTTTCACAAAGAAACTATGAAAGAGGGGATATCTACAAGAAGCGCACACCTTATAACTTGATGTTGTAGTAGGCTTTGAGCATTCTTAAGTGCCAGCCTCCAAGCAGTTACATCATTACGCTTGTTCATGGGAGGAGGTTCCAATCCATAGCGTGACATCTCCAGAGTTACAGGAGGTTTTCCAGCCCTCACACGTTCATACTCTCTTGCAAGCATAGGATGATCCTGAGAAAGGATTGTTGGATTAAATCTAAATTGTGAGTACATATATGATATTAGTGTGCAGTGCTATCCTTTAAAGTTGACCCGCGTAAAGTGATCAACCAGGTAAATTGGGTCAATGGGTATTGAATGTTTCATAGGCCAAATGTGTAGATACCAAATATTAATTTCTAATTTGATGATGGGCCAAATTAGAAATTGCAACTACTTAATGGGTCATGGTCCCTAATCTAATGGCACGTTCTCTATTTTCTTTTCACCTCATCTAGAGAGGAATTTTGGAGAGGCCATCCACACTAGAAGATCTCAACCCTTTCGGCAATTTTCTACAAATTAATTCATGGATCCAGGTACGCTTCCGCATCTATTGTTAATTTCCTCTTTGTATTAATCATGTGTATTAGATTATATTTTCTAGGGTTTATTGTTGTTTAATTAATTTCGAAAACCCTAGAATTATCTTGTGGTATTTACAACAAATGGTATCAGAGCACCATGATTAAAACAATTGAGGACTGAGACCGCAACAGGAAAGACGAAACCCTAGTGCATCCTCTGAAGGCGATGGCAATGTCCGCCGTTATTATGATTTGCTTTGTTTTTTTCCTTGCAAAAGCGTGGACTTTGGTATTTGTTCATGATCTGTTGCATGCATGAGCCTTTGATCTGGTCACTATTGGTCTCGTTGTCTTTGATGGGTTTTTTTGGATCCATGATCACTTGCAAAAAAAAAAAAAAAAAAATGCTTACCGGACCACGTGCCGATGTTCGCACGGCTCACCGCCAGCTGGAACCGACAGGCTCGGGGCGATCAACTCCAGGCGACAGCCGCTGCCACTAGGAAACCCTAGGGCCAAAGCCCTAGCATACACAGGTCCATGGGTCTGTGATCAGTTACACAAAAAAAGATTTGGCCCATAACCCACAAGCCCATGTGCGAAAAAAAGGCCCATGTTGGCTTGTGATCAGTAATAAAAAAACTTGTTAATATTAGGTGGGCATGTAATTATGTGGGCCTGTGATCAAATTATATTTGTGTGGGCCTGTGATCAAATTATATTTGGGCTGAATTGGGATTTGGGCCAGTCAATATTTAATTCAAATAGGGAAAATTTATTAGGGCCTGGGTCCTCTTTGGTCCGTCAAGTTTTAACAAAACCTTTTCTCTTATTTGGGTGTAATGGGCTACGGGCCTATGTTATTATTATTGCCCAAATAAAATTCAGAAATTTTCCTTTTAATTTGAATTTAATTTTTTGTTGATCAATTTTTATTCAAATAATATGACACTAAGGTATTAACTTTGTCTCTCAGTCCAAATGATTAATTAAAACAATATGTTGCTAAAATAACCTCTCTTATTTAGATTGTTCATGAGAGATATTAGATGTTTGTGTGTATGTCTTCATGTAAATATTTAATCGGCTCAAAAGAATGGTAATATTTATCTAGATTGCATACACACCTACGATGATAAACGTGTGACAATTATAAGGTTTACATGTGAATAATGAATCAATCCAAAGATGTTTTATTATTTGACATGCGTTATTGTCAGGGTTTGATCATTGCAACAATGTATAATTTGAAATTAATATTACTATCCAAAGACTTGATATTAATGTTATGCTAGATATCTTGAGATGAGATTTGTCATTATTTAAATTTTATTGATTACTGATTATAATTAATAATGTGAGATTTTTTTGTTTATTTTGTGATTCAGCTAATGCATCTACTTCTACAATTTCTGCTAACATCAACTCAATTCTCATACTCAATGGGACAAATTTCAATGTTTGGAAGGAGAACATTCTCATTGTTATTAGTTGCATGGATCTAGACCTTGCATTAAGGACTAAACAACCCTAACCTCTCACTGCAGATAACACTCCTGATGCAAAAAGAGAGTATGAGAGGTAGGAGCGTTCAAATTGCATGAGTCTAATGATCATCAAGCGCGGCATTCCGAAAGCCTTCAGGGGCACAGAATCCGAAGGGATTACTAAATCCAAAGATTTTCTTGTCAAAATTAAGAAATGTTTTGCTAAAAACGATAAGGTAGAAACAAACCGTTTTTAGCTCGCTTGATTTAGATGAAGTATTAGGGTAAAAAAATATCAGGGAGTACATCATAGAGATGTTTCATATTGCTTCGTAACTTAAGGCACTAAAACTCGATCTATGTGATGAGTTACTGGTGCATTTAGTTCTGTTGTCTCTTCCTGCACAATTTAATCAATTTAAGATCAGTTATAACTGCTAAAAAGAGAAATGGACTCTAAATGGGCTTATTCCATACTGTGTACAAGAAGACATGTTAAAACAAGATAAAATAAAAAGTACTCATTTGGCTAGTGCCTCTAAGGATAAGGGCTAAAAAAGAAAGACTGATAATGAAGCTGCTAAGGGTCCAGTTAAAAAAAACAACATAAGAATGATCAGGGTTGTTTCTTTTGTAACAAGGCTGGACACGTAAAGAAGGATTGTACCAATTATCATGTCTGACGTGTCAAGAAGTGTATGCTTCTTACTTTGGTTTGTTATGAAGTTAATTTAGCTTCAGTACCTAAAAACACTTGGTGATTAGACTTTGGTGCTACCACTCACATAAGTGTTTCTATGCAGGGTTGTCTGAGCTATCGAAAGCCAAGTGATGGTGAAAGATACATCTTTATGGGCAATGGACAATCGATAGACGTGAAAGCAATTGGACACTTTAGATTACTATTAGGAACTGATTTCTATTTAGATTTGAAAGATACTTTTATAGTACTGTCTTTTAGACGGAATTTGATTTCTGTTTTTGTATTGGACAAATCAAGTTATTATTGTTCATTTGGAAACAATCAGTTCGGTTTATCTTTAAATTCAAATATTGTGGGAACTGATTTCTTGAGTACTTATGACAACCTATATTTGATTGATACAATTGCTTGTTATAATGAAACATTGCATGTGGAATCACGTGGTACTAAGCGTAAATTAAATAAGAAAAATTCAGCGACATTATGGCATAAGTGTTTGGGTCATAACTCAAAAGGTAAAGTTAAGCGTCTGGTGTCTGATGACATTTTGGATCCCTTTGATTTTTCAGATTCTGATGTGTGTTGACTGTATCAAGGGAAAACAGACCAAAGTTAAAAGATTAAGTGCCAACGGATCTTCAGATGTCTTAGAATTGATACATACAGATATTTATGGATCATTCCCTACGGCATCTTAAAACGATCAATAATATTTTATATCATTCATAGACGATTACTTACGTTATGAGTACATATATCTCATTCATGAGAAATCTGAGTCTTTGAACATGTTCAAAGCTTTTAAAGCTGAATTTGAGAACCAACTCAACAAAAGGATTAAAACTGTTAGATCTGATCGTGATGGTGAGTACTACGACAGATATGATAGTTCAGGTGAACAATGTTTAGGATCATTTGCTAAATACCTAGAGGAATTGAGGAATGTGATACCGTCCTAGAGTACACCATGTTAGGGTCACCTAGCATGAATGATATAGCTGAAAGGCGAAACAAGACTCTTAAGAATATGATAAGGAGTATGATTGCTCATTTTACTTTACCAGAGTCACTCTAGGGAGAAGTATTAAAGACAACAATTTACATTATGCACGAAGTACTAACTAAAGCAGCTACAAAAACACCTTATGAGCTTTGGACAGGTCGAAAGCCTAGTTTAAAGCATTTTCATATTTGGGGATGTCCAGCTGAGGTAATGTCTTATAGACCAAATGAAAAGAAATTAGACTCCAAAACAATTAACAGCTACTTTATTGGTTACTCTGAACGATTTAGGAGCTATAAGTTTTATGATCCCATACTTAGGATCATTTTTGAGACGAGAACAGTAACATTCTTTGATAATGTTGAGTTTAGGAGGGAGAAATAAGGTTAGAGATATTATTTATGAGGAGGAATTAGCTTCAATCCCAATCTATACTGTCATTTTTGACAATATTCAGGTTCATATACCTGTTATTGATCAAGAAATGAATCCGGAACCTCAAGAAAACAATGTTGAACAATATCCTATTCCAGAAGAACAGACTCAACAACCTCAAGAACCAGTGTCATTAAGGAGATCCACGAGAGAAAGGAGAAATGCTATTCCGGATCAACAACCTCAAGAACCAGTGTCATTAAGGAGATCCACGAGAGAAAGGAGAAATGCTATTCCGGATGATTATATTGTATTTTGAACCAGTGTCATTAAGGAGATCCACGAGAGAAAGGAGAAATGCTATTCCGGATGATTATATTGTATTTTTCTAAGAACATGGGGAAAATAATAAAATGATGAAAGATGATCCAATCAACTTTTATCAGGCCATGAAAAGTTCTAACTCTCAAAAGTGAATTAATGTCATGAATGAAGAGTACAAATCTATGCAAGATAATAAGGTTTGTAAACTTGTTCCATTGCCAGAAGGTGCAAAATCAATTAGTTGTAAATAGATATTTAAAACCAAGCGGGATGCAAATGGTAATGTGGAGAGGTATGAGACATGTCTTGTAGCTAAAGACTATACTCAAAAGGAAGGTATTGATTATACAAATATTTTCTCTCTGATTTCATCGAAAGACTCCTTTAGAACAATCATGGTACTTGTTGCTCATTTTTATCTTGAGATACATCAGATGGATGTTAAGACTGCGTTTCTCAATAGGGACATTGATGAGACGATTTATATAATGCAAACAAAAAACTGTCAGGACACCTAAAGAATATGATTTGCAAATTTAAAAAAATTTATTTATGGACTCAAGCAAGCTCCTCGTCAATGATATCACAAGTTCCAACAAATAATTATCTCGTTTGGTTTTGAGATGAATATTGTTAATGACTGTGTTTATCACAAGTTCAGTAGGAGTGAGTATATTTTTCTGGTTCTGTATGTCAATGACATATTGCATGTCACTAATGATATAGGCATGTTGCATGAAACCAAGAGATTTCTATCAAAGAATTTTAAGATGAAAGATCTTGGGACGCCTCTTTTATATTAGGGATTCAGATACACCGAGATCGTTCTCAAAGTATATTTGGATTATCCAAAAGAGCTATATCGACTCAAAAGGGTTAGCATGCAAGATTGCAAATCAGGTGACACCCCTGTTGCTAAAGGAGACAAGTTCAGTCTCAATCAGTGCCCTAAAGGTAACCTTGAAATTTAAACAATGCAAAAGATTCTATATGCTTCAGCAGTAGGGAGTTTAATGTATGCTCAGTAGCTTAGGTGTATACGCGTACGGATATTGCGTATATTATTGGTATGTTAGACAGATATTTAAGCAACCTTAGTATGAACCATTGGATAGCAGCCAAGAGGGTTATGAGGTACCTACAGAGAACAAAAGATTATATGCTCAAATACAAGAAATCAAAACAATTAGAGGTCATTTGGTACTCTGATTCTGATTTTGTTGGATGCCAAAATAAAAGAAAGTCTATATCAGACTACATTTATAGATTAGCTGGAGGAGCTATATCCTGAAAAAGTATCAAACAGACACTTGTAGCTTCCTCTACTATGACAGCAGAGTTTGTAGCTTGCTATGAGGCATCTAATCATGGAATATGGCTGTGAAATTTTATCACTGGACTGTGTATTCTGGAAAATATTAAAAAACCACTTAAGTTATTTTGTGACAATAAATCAGCAGTGATGTATTCCAATAACAACAGGAGCTTGACTAAGTTAAAACACATTGACATTAAGTTCCTAGTTGTGAAAAAAATAATGCAGAGTGGATAGATATCCATAGAACATATTGGGACAAATTCCATGATAGCAGACCCGCTTACAAAAGGATTGCCGCCCAGGGTCTTTTATGAGCACACTGCTCATATGAGTGTTGTATTATTTGAGGATATCATGTTTTAGTGGGAGTTTGTATTTTTATTGCTTTATGTGTATTTTGAACATATTTATGTTTGGTTATTTTTCTGATCAGAATAAAGTATTCAGTGTATACACTCTGTCTATGTTACCCCGACACGTCATTCTAGGTCCCGTACCCGTGTCGGGTACGTTTTGGGTACGGATCCGCACCCATACGGCAAGGACACACCAAATTCACTCGCGATGGGGGAAAAAAGGCAACATGAAATTTTTGTGCAGAGGACGAATCGGGTGCTATTCGAGCCCAATAACCCAAGCCCACTGAAGCGATTCTGCCTTTAGGCCCTTTACCACCTTCGAGCTCGACGACGAAAACCCAACTCCTCGACGACGAAATCAGAGCTCGACGACGAAAACCCAACTCCTCGACGACAAAATCTGAGCTCGACGACGAAAAACCCAACTCCTCGACGACGAAAACCCAACTCCTCGACAACGAAATCTGAGCTCGACGACAAAAAACCAAACTCCTCGGGCGACGAAATCAGAGCTCGACGAAGATTAAAGGAGAAATGGGAGGAGGCGAAGAAGATTAGAGGCGGCAACGAAGATTAGAGGAGAAATGGGAGGAGGCGACGTAGACGGGAACCCTAGAGGGGGAGGTTACGGTTTTATAGGGAGTGTTTCGGTTTGAGTTTTTTTCATAACCCGTTTGCTTTTTAAGTGGGGAGGGGTTTGGGTTTGGGTTTGGGTTTATATATAGGGGGAGGGGTTTGGATTTGGGTTTTATATGGGGAGGGGCTTGAGTTTGGGTTTATATAAGTAATAATATTAGTTCTAAAATTTTAATTAAAGTAAAAATAGTTTTCTATTTCTTATGCAATGAATATAGTTTTAACTTGGAATATGCTAGTGAGTTGTAAGTTTTTGGGATATAGAACTAACTTTTAGATGTATATTTACAACTTTAAACAATATACTTGTAATATTTTGAGGGATGCTTGTCATATTTTTGGGTATATTTGCAAAATATATATATATATATAGTTGTGTCCCCGTACCCTACTTTTTACAAATTTGCTGTGTCACGTACCCGTACCCGTACCTAGGCAACATTGCACTCTGTTATATTATGTTTGGTATTGACCTCACTAAAGTTTAAGGTAGGACCAGTTAGAAATAGACATGTGCAGATCACATTGCATGTAATTTTCATGCTACACATCCATGATTGATCTATATCATTTGACTGTATTGGTATATGTGATCATTGATGGGTTTAGTCACGATAAATGTGACGAAGACCGCTTTGATCCTATATAGATACAATCAATTGGATTGTTTAAAAATACCCTTATTTGTGATAGTAATTTTTTAGCTCATAAGGTTGTACACACTTTAAGGAAACATATAGTGCCCAAGTGGGAGGTTGTTGGATTAAATCTAAATTGTGGGCACATATGTGATATTAGTGTACAGTTCTATCCTTTAAAGTTGACCCGCGTAAAGTGATCAATCAGGTAAATTGGGTCAATGGGTATTGAATGTGTCATGGGTCAAATGTGTAGATATCAGATATTAATTTCTAATTTGATGATGGGCCAAATTAGAAATTACAACAACTACTTAACGGGTTATGATCCCTAATCTAATGGCACGTTCTCTATTTTCTCTTCACCCTCATCTAGAGAGGAATTTTGGAGAGGTCATCCAGATTAGAAGATCTCAACCCTTTCGGCAATTTTCTACAAATTAATTCATGGATCCAGGTACACTTCCGCATCTATTGTTAATTTCCTCTTTGTATTAATCATGTGTATTAGATTATATTTTCTAGGGTTTATTGTTGTTTAATTAATTTCGAAAACCCTAGAATTATCTTGTGGTATTTACAACAAGGATTAGCACATAATTAATAAAGAGGCCTCTTTAATGATTATATCAGAACACCACCAAATTATATCCAATTGTATTATACATGATGAACATAATATAATCAGAAAACAAGAGATAAATAATTAAATTAGAGGTTAGAACAAGGTTTGAATATTAACCCCAGAATGTAAATGACAGTGGAGAAGCCCATATATTTCTCTCAGCAGTTACTTTGTGCAACCTATGGCACCTAATCTAGTTATCAACTTTACAGTAACTAGTACATGTAGATACCTAGAATTAAACCCAAAATGTTTTAAACCAGATCATGCTCGATCAGTATAACCCAACTAAGTGCAGATCATTTTTGCATTATAAGTGTTTCTGAACTGGACAACCGGATAGTCAGCCTTAAAGGTATCCATTCATAAATTTCACAGAGAAGGACTAATAATATGACATAACGAATAGTACTTGTAGATGGTGAATATCACATCTTGCTTCCTAACTATCTCAGTTGCTAACCTAATATTACGGCTGCGATGTTTCCCAGCAAATCATGGTCACAGCTCTAGCCTCAGGTGAAAAATGGCTGTTTCAAAGTTAAAACTGCCGTTCTTAGTTAAGTAGCAAAGTTTTTTTTTTCCATCCAGTTTCTAGAGATAAAGGCATTAAATTAGAGCTTGCAGTAGCTTCAAGCTAGAAGTCTGGCCAGGTCAACAAATGTGCGAGAAAAGATTCCGTATGATCAGAATAATTTAGTAGCCAGAATTTTCCATGGTTCTCAGGCCAAATCTATTACATTACGTTCGTTAAAATGGGTGCTTCTCTTTTTACATCTCACTCAGTAACAAATCTAGAGCATATTATGATCAACCATAGCAAATATCCTCCTACTACATTCAAAATTACAAAGAAAATACTGAATAAACAACCCTAGGGTACCATTTTTCCACAGAAAAAAGCAAATCCTAAACCCCAAAATAATTTCTGAAAACCCCTACTCCAAATATTTCCAGAAATCTAAACAAAAGAAAAACCTTAAACCCCAAAATCAAACTTCAAAGATTATGAATTACCACCCCAGATTCAGATAAACCCCAAATTTCAGAGACTTTCAGATATCTCTGAGTTAGATTTAGACCGCATTACTTATTTTGCACAGCTAAAACCAAAAGAAACCCTAATTCCCAAAATCAACTCCAGAGAACCCCTAAACCCTAAATATCAAACATCAAAGATTTCAAAATCTACCTCAAAATCAGATTTTGGGAGGGGTGGGAGGTCTTTAAGAAAGTCGGCGGGCTTCTTGATGCTCCGCCTCATCTCCTCCTCAACGAGGCGGTCGACCTCCGCCTTCACGTTCGGATGTCGATGTACGGCCAGCGCGTCGAGTTCACCTCGTCGCTCCCGGATCCGCCGATCCATCCCTCTCGGTTCGGGTCGCATCAGGACCTCTCCTCTTCCCGCCATTGCAAAAGAGCGCAGAAATTTGTGGAGTTCGTGAGATCTCTTTTTAAGAGGACTTCTAGCTGCGCTGGATTCCTGCTATTATTTTGGCCTGTTATGGAAAATTTTTCACAAAGAGTGTGATAGGGCACACACCAAACCACACCCTCAACCACACCTCCTCTCCCTCTATAGTGCATGCCCCTAACATTTATATTTCACAAAACCCTATCTTTTGGCTCAATTTTAAGCATAACCCAGATTAAATAAAGGGTTAAATTACACTGCAACCCCAGGACCTTTCAGAATTTTGGAGTAAGCCCCTATGAACTTTTAAAATCACACTAACCCCCAATAACTTTTTTGGTTTTGGAGAAAAAGCCCCAATAACTTTTTGCATTTTGTGGATAACCCCCACAAATTAAAACCAGAAAACAACATAAAATGCATTTTGAAAGTTATTGGGGGTTTAGTGTAATTTAGCAAAAGATATTGGGTGTTTTCTGCAGAAGTTATGGGTGTTGAGTGCGACTTTTGAAAGTGCGGCTTTTAAAAGTGCATGGGAGTTTAGTGTAATTTACCCTATTAATAGATTCGTCTGATTCCCTAACTTTTGGGAGTGTGACAGAAGCCCCTAAATAGTTGCAAGTTTATTTTCAACATATACCTCTTTTATCCAAAATTTTCAACATTATTTCCAAAACCAAACTTTTAACATTCTTTCTAGAAAACCCCATACTTTTGATGAAGTTTCAGAAAGCCCCCATTTTGTCGGTAGAGGGTATGTTGAAAAAATTGCAGATGTTTGGCATGGCAGTTTTATGTCAAGTCCCGGACGTTAAAGTTTAGGGAGTCATCTCAGAATGGGTCATACTTTAGGGGTTATGTGAAATCTACCCAACGCTATGGGGGCTCGAAGTAAATTGCTTTGGTTCCGGTTATAATCACCAGTTGAGAAACCAAAAAAGAAAAAGAAAAAGAAGGAAGCGCCGATCAACTTCCTCACTCCTCCTGGAGAGGCTAGATCTACTCTAAGACCGGCAGACGTTCTTATCTATAGTTAGAGCGGGGGGAAGCACGCTTGTGTTGATCTCACAGGGGTATCTCCGTTGGTGGGGTTTGGTAATGGGGAGTTCAAGGTTGGACATGCAGCGGATAGAGCAGCAGAGGCAAAGGTGGGCAAACATGATCAAGCTTGCAAGGACAACCACCACGACTTCATCCCGTTCACTTTCGATACGTTTGGTTTCCTTGCAACTGAGGCGGTGAAGTTTCTCAGGAGGGTACAAAAATTCATGAATAAGAGTGTAGCGACAGCCGGATCCGCTGAGTACGTGTTTCGTAGGTTGGGTTTTGCAATTCAGAAAGGATTAGTGGCGCAGCTTGTTGCCCGCTTGTCATCATAACATGTGTAATATTTCTTAAATGTGTAAGTTTTTTTTAAAGGGAGAAAGAAAAAAAAAAGAAAAGGAATAAAAACATCTATTGAAAATTTATAATTTTGATTAAAAAAAGAAAATGAAAAAGGAAAAAGGAAAAAGAAGAATAATAAGAAGAAGAACTTGAGATTTTTTCAAAATATATTATGATTTATCATAAACATGGGACTTCTCACAGTCCAATCATACGTGTATCACTGATCACAAACTAATTTTTACACTTTATACTACTACATTTTACAACAACAAAGAAAAACAAATATGGCTCTTTGAAGTTCTTTTGAGGAATATGATTTGTTCTCGTTTCTAATGATCAAGGACTCATTTCAGCTCCTTCACTAGCTCCTGCTTCATAAAAATAGTCCTGAAAATATCAAGTAGTTTGACGCTCATCAAGTTATATATCCTCATTCTGCACTGGATTCATTGTCTCGGTATCCTGTGCCGATGAACTTAGACTTTGGTTAATTTGCACTCCTGCAATCAGTTGAGAAACGATGTATGTATTAATCGATGAGTACATCTTCAAGTTGGAATTTTTTGTTTCTTTGTCATACCTGAAGATGCTGACTCAGGCAGGTTACGTTGGTTCGTTCGAGAATTCATGATAATTGTGGCAGTTTCGTTCACCATCATATGCAGCATTTAACCAATAATAACCATACACAACATCTGGGCTCGAGTTTATAGAATCAGGATTTCTTAGCTCTTGAGTATAGTTGAGTTCATCTGAGAAGGGAGCCTGGCTTTGACTCCTAAAACTTCCTGCAATTATTTGAGGCAAAAGTTTCAGTAGTACTTGCATCTTTTTTAGGTAATTTTCAGGATTTCTTTGTTCATCTATACCTGTAGCAGAACTCACTATTGTCATCAGGTTTTGATTACCATTTACATCATTTGACCGATTATAATCAAAACCATTGCCTGAGCTTGAATTCACATAAGGTTAGGCTTAGTAACCTGTTGTTAAGGTTGATATGATCAGAAAATACCTGTCTTTGATTCATAAAAGGTCCTGAAATCATTTGAGACAAAAAGTTATACCAGTACTTGCATCATCAATTTTTTAAAGACAATTTAGGATTTCTTTGTTCGCCTATACCTGCAGGGTTTCCTTGCTTCTCAGTTCATGTTTGATGCATCTTTATCAATTGTAAACACGAATTGATTATTATAGGGTTAACTGCACATAGACCCCCTAGAGTGTTGTTGTTTTGAACTTACTACCTCTGTAGTTTCATCATTTCACATAGACCCCCCTAAGTTAAATTTATTTGACTCCTTGCCCTTCAGATGATTCACTAATTTTATCCCGAGGCAACATCTGCCAAAATTTAACGAAGGGCAAAAGAGACAAAAAAAAGCTAACCCAAGAATAAGCATGTCAAAATTATTTAACCCAGGAGTTCAAAAGAATTAACCCAGGGTGTCTATCTGCAACAATGAAACTGCAAGGGTGGTAAGCTCAAAACTATGATACTATAGGGAATCTACGTGCAAATTAATCCTTGACTTATAGAAAAAAAAGAGGAAGAAATCACACTTGAACTTACAAGGTTTGAATTAACCTGCATGCTTCGATTAGCTAGGGTGAACAAAATTTGTCCTTGATTATTTATTATTCCAGATCCTTGCCAACTATTGTTAGCAGGTATATAAATTTCTTGAGGAAATCTCAGGTTTCCTCCTTTAGGCTGAAGCTCAGGTGGTGCACTATGGGGCGGCCAGCTGAAAAATTGCAATAGCAGGTGGAATCGAGAGCTAGCTTTCCTACAAACAGCCGGAAGAGGTCCTATTCGAAGCCCTCATATGCTCATAAAATTATGGAAAATTGCTCTTCTTGTATTCGACATGGCCATTCTAGACCATTGCCAGTATTAGCAGTTTAAGACATTTCTTGAGGAAATCTCAGTTTTCTTCTTTTCGATAGTTCAGCGTGTTGTGCTGATGCTCTTAGATAATTTCCTTAGCTCATTCCTCGGTTCATGTTGTTCTTAACCAGAGACTGAACATTTTGATGCATTAATGAAACTACCCGATTGTACCTAAAACTCTCATTTGACTTGATTGCATTTGTGGGGTATGAAGGCACTCCTTTATTCATTGTCATCCCTGAAATCACCAATATACTATTCTTGAACCATTAAAAGCCACTTCTCGAGAAAACCTCGTGGTATATGTCTCTATATCATTTCAAGACAGCATTGAAATTTGATCCGATTGTGTTATTTACAAGAAATGTAAAACAATTGATCGAAGTATTTACGTTGTCTATGACAAATGGCTTTTATAGAATCAGGAGCAGGATATCGAATAATTTCAGAGATGAGAATTAATCAAGAGTTGCCTCATACCGAACAAATAACAATTTCCAAAATGTTATCACAATGTTCAGATTCTGATTGGTACAATCTTATGGTTCTTTCTGTGTATGTATCAAAATGTTCAGATTCTGATTAGGACCGACATGAAGTGGGGAATGAGCTAACACAATCATATGAGATTATCAACGCAATGCCCTGAACTATCAAAAAGTGGAAACCCGAGATTTCTCATGAAACTTTTATAAACTGCTAATAGTACCTGGCAAGGGTCTAGAACGGTCACGTGTGATACAAGGAGGGCAATATCCATAACCTTACGAGCATCTGAGGCCTTTGAAAAGGACTCCTTTGTTTGTCGGAAACCTAGCTCAATCCACCACTTTCCACTTCTCGAGGGCCACCACATTGGTTGTCTCTCTTTTCCAAAAAATGTGTGATTTTTTCCAAGGGCCTGCAGTTGAGTATCAAGAGCCAGAGGTAAATAATCAAATTAGAGGTAAATAAATGAGATTCGATAATGCAATCACAAGTTCAATTAGATACAAATATATATTTTTTTGCCCGAGATGAGAAAATACGAAAGCAATATCCGGTTTCTAATACTCAAGTGGGTACTTTTAGATCATCAGGATAGCTAGTTACAACTTCTATCTGATCATAATTCTTGACTGAAAACTATTTTTTGTACTTTTTACCTCCATCAGTTTTCTGTTTTGTCAGGTGTTTCTTTTTTTTCTTTTTGGTCCTTAAAAAATGACAACAAGGTAGTAGACCACATTACTGAAAAAAAAGAGACCCTTAAATCCTTTAAAAAAAAGAACTTCAAAGGTTTTTAATTACTATATAAGCAGATTTAGAGCAAATCATGAACAGCCAAAGGAAATATCCTCTTACTAGTTTAAAAACTACCAATTCCATCATAAGTGTCTCACATCAAATGTACAAAAAGGAAAAACAAACTACTCAATAAACTTAATCCCAAAATAAACTTCAGACGAACTCTTTAACTCCAAAATTTTACGGAAATCTCTAACAAAAGAAACCCTATGACCCTAAAATAAAACCTAAAAGATTTTGAATCATTACCTCCGATTTGTCGGGTGGAAGGAGATCCTTAGAAAATCTGTGGTTTTCTTGACTCTGAACTGCATGTATTTATACACTTTGTAGAATCTCTATGAAAGGAAACTCTTACAGAAAAGGAAACATCCAATAAAGGAAAGTCTTAAGTAAGATACCATATTTAACTGACACATTGAATCTGGCCACGTTTATTCAAGGCAACAAATAATACGATATCTTTTAATACATAACAATCTTTGGACTTATCATTTAGGGCGAATCTAGGATTTCAGTTCTGGGGGGCCGCTTAATTTTATTTACAAGAGATGCACCATAACCCAAACAAAACGAGTAGAATAGCCAACGTCAATATCTACAAAATATTTCAAAAGAAGAAGACAAAAATTATGTAGAAAATATTCCAAATTGTTGAGTTATTTAGATACTAAGTGAATTAGCCAATGTTGTAAGGACCTAGTTGTAAGAATGCTTTAATATAAAAGAGTTGTCTCTCAATGAGAGAAACTGACTCTAATCTTACATCATGGTATCAGAGCCCTAACCTAGCCGTCTCCCTCTTCAACCCGACGAAATCCAACCCGAACAAATCTGAGGGCTTTGGTCTTCATCATCGGGCTTCGTCTTCACCAGAGGGCCTCCGAAGATCATCAACGAGTAGGAGGCCTGCTGTGGAGTTCTCTTGTAAGGAAGCGTCGACGGAGGAGCAAGGCGTCGGTGACGTGACCGGCGGTGGGTATGGTGCGACCACGACGACTGTAGGGCAAGAGGCTGCGACCACGACGACTGTAAGGAAGAAGGAGACAGTCGGATGCAGAGGAGGCCGGAGTCGATGGAGGAGCAGCGAGTTGGTGATGTGATCGCGGCTACGGGGGAGAGTCCGATGGCGGGAGCTGGAGGAATCACGGTTCGGAGCTTGGTTCTTTGATCTGCAGGGAGTGTTGCTGATCAGATCCAAGAGAAGAAGAAGAAAAAAAAGAGAAGAAAAGGGGGAGCGCAGTTCTTTGAACGATGATGAAAAGGGGGAGCGCAGTTCTTTGAACGATGATGAAAAGGGCTTAGTGATTTGATTGGTTTCTGTTGATTAACGTCTGTCAAAAAAAAGGGAAAGAAAAGAAAAGAAAAAGGGGGGGGGGAAATGGATTTGTAATCTGTATCAGATGATTATAAAAAAAAAAGAGGAGAGGTTCTTGATTTGTAATAGTTTATTTAGGTTCCCTCGACAAGTCAGTCCTAGAACTGATAAGAGAAGAGCTGATATCTCACTTTGTTGAGATATCTTGCTTTTGGTTCTTGTTTCCTTGGTGAAACAGGAATTATTATTGATCTATCTCTCTTGTTGTGCTGTCGAAGTGCTGCCGGATTTTTTTTGGTTGCGCACCACAAGAATACAAGTTGGATCGATGACGAAGACTGAAAAAAATCCGATGGAGGAGATCATCCAGAAGTTGAATAACCTGAGGGTATTCCAGATCGAGAAGGAGATCAGCGCTATAGTCCAGGGAGAGAGGACTGTACAGGAGTACGCCACAGAGCTGGAGCGCTTGTGGGCCAGAGGCAGCAATGATTGCTGTTGCTGTTAGCGGAGGGCCAGAGGCAAAAGCGATGCTTCAACATTGCCGGTTAGGGCATTTATCTTTTGAGAGTTTAAATAGATTAGAACCTGAGTTAATGAAGAAAGTGGATAGAAAAGAGTTATTTTGTAATGCATGTGAACTTGGAAAACATACTCGTTCTACTTATAGAATGATTGGTCTTCGAAGTTGTGAACCATTTGCACTTGTCCATTCTGATGTTTGGGGACCATGTCCTACTACCTCTATCAGTGGTTTTAGATGGTTTGTTAGTTTCATTGATTGTTATTCATGTATGACCTCGATATACATGATGAAGCAGAAACCAGAGGTTTACAAATGTTTTCAAAATTTCTCGGCTTATGTGAAGACACAATTTGGAGTGCAGGTGAAGATTCTTCGAACAGATAATGGGACTGAGTATGTCAATAAGGAGTTTGCAGCTTTCATCTCTAATCAGGGAATTGTTCATCAAACCACCTGCCCAGACACCCCTGCTCAGAATGGGGTGGCTGAGCGTAAGAACAGGCATCTACTGGAAGTGGCACGCTCATTGATGTTGACAATGAATGTGCCTAAGTTTTTATGGAGTGAGGCTGTTATGACAGCAGCTTATTTGATCAACAGGATGCCATCAAGAGTATTAGAGATGAAGACACCATGTGAGATGTTTTTGGGCTCGAATGTTTTTGTTGTTCCACCAAGAGTGTTTGGATGCACATGTTATGTGAGAGATCACAGGTTGATGGTGAGTAAACTGGATCCGCAAGCAGTTAAATGTATCTTTGTTGGCTACTCATCAAGTCAAAAAGGATACAAGTGTTGGTGTCCCACTGAAAGAAGGCTGTTTGTCAGTATGGATGTGACTTTTCGGGAGTTTGAACCTTTTTATGGGGAGAAGACGGAGTTGAGTTCCTTGTTTGGAGATGGCTCTACTGATGCTAGTAGAGAGGGGGAGAATGAGAATGAGAATGAGAATGATATTGTGGTCGGGATGATTCCATGTCCTCTTGAGTCACCGAGTAGTGATGGTACATCGCCGAGTAGTGGTGGTGACTTAGGAGTTGGTAGTCAAAGTCAGGGGGAGCTGAGAGTATACACGAGGAGACAGAAACAGCAGCATGAGCCGCCTCCCGTGCCTGTGTCAGTACCCACAAATGTTGATGACCCAAGTCCCTCCTCTCCAGTGCCTTGCTCTTCTCCTCCACCTGAGTCGATAGGTAACGATTCCTTCCATGATACCTCTGATACTCCTGTCTTGCCCCGCAGAACCTCTAGAGTCAATGCTGGAAAACCTCCAGCTAAGTTTGGTAATTGAGATACTGATATTGCGAATTATATTTCATATGCATCCATTCCACCTGCATATAAGTCATTCATTGCATCGTTGCATTTAGTGTCTGTACCTAACAACTGACAGGTAGCTAAGCAAGATCCTAGGTGGTTGAATGCCATGCACGAGGAACTCCAGGCCTTGAAGAAGAATGACACATGGGAGTTGGTACCTTTGCCAGCTGGGAAGCGTGTTGTTGGATGTAAGTGGGTGTATACGGTTAAGCAAACTCCAGAGGGCAAGATCGACAGATACAAGGCCAGATTGGTTGCTAAAGGCTACAGCCAAACATACGGCATTGACTATGACGAGACATTTGCTCCAGTAGCAAAGATGAGTACTGTTAGAGTGTTGGTGTCATGTGCTGCCAACTTTAATTGGCCACTACATCAGCTAGATGTCAAGAATGCCTTTTTGCATGGAGATCTTCAAGAGGAGGTATATATGGAGATTCCACCAGGCTTCACTACTTCTCAAGTAGCTGGGAAGGTGTGCAAGTTGAAGAAGTCTTTGTATGGGTTAAAACAGTCTCCGAGGGCATGGTTTGATAGATTCAGGTTGGCAGTTTGTGGTATGGGGTACAAGCAGTGCAATGGTGATCATACTGTGTTTTACAGGCACTCCAAAACTCGTATCACTATCCTGGCGGTCTATGTTGATGATATTGTAATCACTGGAGATGACGCTGAGGAAATCCTACTGTTGAAGAAGAAATTGGGAGAGGAATTTGAAGTTAAAGATCTGGGGCAGTTGAAGTACTTTCTCGGAATTGAAATTGCAAGGTCGCGAAAGGGTATAGTGCTTTCTCAGCGAAAGTATGCTCTGGATCTTCTCTCAGAGACAGGGATGTTGGGATGCAGAGTTGCATCTACTCCTATTGAGCAGAATCATAAGATGAGTGCCGAGAGTGGGGACCCTGTGAGTAAAGAGCAATATCAAAGATTGGTTGGACGACTTATATATCTATGCCATACGAGACCTGATATTACTCATGCAGTGAGTGTGGTGAGTAGATATATGCATGATCCCAGAGAGCAGCATATGGAGGCAGTTCGCAGAATTCTTAGATATATTAAAGGAAGCCCAGGAAAGGGGTTATGGTTCAGGAGTTTTGGACATCTGAGAATTGAAGGCTATTGTGATGCTGATTGGGCGGGTTGTATGGATGATCGTAGATCCACTACAGGGTACTGTGTATTTGTTGGAGGCAATCTTGTATCTTGGCGTAGCAAGAAGCAAGATGTGGTGGCTAGGTCTACAGCTGAGGCCGAGTACAGAGCTATGGCAGTTAGTCTGTGCGAGTTGATGTGGGTAAAAAACATATTATCTGAGCTGCACTTGTTTAGAAGAGACTCCTTACAACTTTGGTGTGACAACAAATCGGCGATTAATATTGCAAACAATCTAGTTCAGCATGATCGCACCAAACATGTGGAGATTGATCGGTTCTTTATCAAGGAGCAACTGAATAGAGGAGTTCTGACTTTGAGCTATGTGAAATCAGAAGAGCTGTTAGCTGATTGTTTAACAAAAGGATTAGGTTCTAGAGAGTATGATATCTTTTGTAACAAGATGGGGATGATTGATATCTATCGCCCATCTTGAGGGGAAGTGTTGAGTTATTTAGATACTAAGTGAATTAGTTAATGTTGTAAGGACCTAGTTGTAAGAATGCATTAATATAAAAGAGGGGTCTCTCAATGAGAGAAACTGGCCCTAATCTTACATCACAAATAAGCAACATCCAATTTTTTATAACTAAAACTTCTCAAATTTATGTAGAAAAGAGCAAAGTTGGATGCAAGGGGCTAGGGGCGGATCCCAATTTTTTTTTTTTTTTTTTTTTTTTTTGGGGGGGGGGGGGGGGGGCGCCCCTGCTTATCATATTCCGATGTATCACCGATGACAGTCTGATGTTACACTCTATTCTCACTACTGTTACAACAAAAAAGGAAAATAATGAGACATCAAATTTTTTTTTCTAAGACTAATTTGTTCTTTTATAATGATCAAGGACACCATGATCAGGTCCTACATTATCAGACTCTAGATGAAAGTAATCCTGAAACTCCGAAAAATCAAGAAGTTCCGTGTTCATCAAATTATCCAGCTGCTGCATTGGAGCCCTTGTCACTGTATCCTGCACTGACGAAGTCAGGCTTCTTTCATTCACTCCTGCAATCATTTGAGACGATATTTTTGTGTTAATCGATGAGATAATCTATTTCTAAGGAGGAAGGTTTGGTTTTTGGTTGTACCTGAAGATGATGATTCCGGCAGGATAGTTTGGTTCCTTCGAGAATTCATGAACCTTGCAGCGCTTTCCTTCACGATTGTCATCAGGTCTTGATTATCATATGAGTTCAGCTGAAAATAATCGTTAGCAACATCTGAGCCTGAGTTCATAAAATTAGGATTATTGACATCTTGGTTATCGTAGATTTGATCGGAGACTGCAGCCTGGCCTTGATTCCCCAAAAGTCCTGAAAGCATTTGAGAAAAAATTTGATCAGTATTTGCATCATTTTTGAGAAAGCTCAGGATTTCTTTTTCGTCCATACCTGTGGCAGAATTTACGATAGACATCAGGTCTTGATTGTCATTTGTATCACTCAACTGATTATAGTCAAAAACACCACCTTGATTATACGCCTGTGGGCTATAGTTGATTTGATCAGAAAATGAAACCTGGCCTTGATTCATACAAGGACCTGCAATCATTTGAGAAAAGTTCTAAAGTACTTGCATCATTTTTTTCTGAAATTTTTTGAATTTCTTTATTCATTTATACCATCAGAAGTTTCTTGGCTATAGCTGATTTGATCAGAAAATGAAAGCTGATCTTGATTCACAAGAGGTCCTGTGATCAATTGAGACAAGAGTTTTATGAGTACTCGAATCATTTTTTACGAAAGTTTAAGGATGTTGTAACTCGTTTATACCTGTAGGGTTTTCTTGATTCACTCCACAGTTCATATTTGATGCAGATCGATTATGATCATAAGAAGGACTCATGCTTGAGCTCATAAGATTAGAGTAAACCTGCAGATTTCTGATATCTGGGGTGAAAAAAGTACGTCCTTCATTTTCCATTCTAAATCTTTGCCAGCTATTGTTAGTCGTTATGGAATTTTGTTGAGGAAATCCCAGGATTCCTCTTCTCGGTAGAGGTTCAGATTCTCGGTAGAAGCTCACATTCTGAGCATTTTGATACGTCGAAGGAACCACCAGATTGCCCCAGTTCGAAGGACTACCATTAATTGACTTCGTTCCATGTGCATTAGCTTGCAAATACCTATTTCTTTGGTATGAAAAAAGGTCTTCATTCGTTCTCATGCTTGAAATAGCTTGATATCCAGTTCCTGAACTTCTAGTAGCCATTCCTACACCTGTAACAGGCTGTTCAGATGCATTTGTGTAGTTGTTAACCAGGGCAGTATTCTTCTGACTATTCTCAAAAAAAGAACCTGAACTTGTACCAATGCTGTTTGGATTAGCCTGAAATGATCGAGACTGGCTCTGATCCTTTTGCATTTGTCCTGGAACAACCATTAGAGTCGATGTAGCGGGTACTTGATCAATTTTTGAATCCTTTTCTTGAGATAAGCTTGATTTTCTCTCTTTAGTAAATGCAGGTAGTGCTAATAATACCTCACGCTTCCTTTTCGACGTAAGCATTAGAGTGTTCTTATCTGTTGCCTTGCGCTTAAGGACACCACTATTTCCTTTGCTCAATATCACCCGATTGTCGCTGGATTTTGCGTGTACTGCATTTTCTTCTGTCTGTATCTCTTCCTTCACTTCAAGAAGAGGACCAGAATTGATTTCTTGCGTCTGAGACTCATTTCCATTGATATTAACATCACTTATCGTTTTCTCAGCGGAACTACTAGGGCTCTCAATCTTCAAATTGTTTAAAATGTGCAACACAATTGATAAAATGAACTTCTCCTTCGTAGACATTTTCCCTTGTAAAGTCACAGACTCTCGAACAATCTTGCACACAGCTTTTGGAGACAGATGATTGATTATCGAAACCAGAAGCGCAATTTTCCATACCTTCATGAGCATTTGTGGCCTTTGGAATTGAGGCTCCCCTTCAGTTGTAGGGAAGCCTAACTCAACCCACCACTCTGAACTTGTTGTGGGCCACCATGTTGGCTTTCCTTCTTCTCCTAAAGTGTATGGTTTTTTCTGAGGCCTGCATTCGAGTATCAAAGAAGAGAGAATAGTTGAGAGTGCCGTGTCTCTGAAATCATCGAACATTTCATGAAAGGAGGTTTTGGTCTTTTGTTCTATGTTTGACATGAAGATTGGATCGTTGGTGGATAAGATAGCAAGCTCGTCGGAGTGCAGTATGCAAAAATTTAATTTATCATCATGAGGACTAGCGCCAGATACTGAAGCAACTGATTTTCCTTTATCAATGTTTTGGCTTTGGCTTTGCTGGCCTTCTTTTAAAACCAAAGCCTGATTCAATTCTTCGGACAGTTTTCGTTTGAGGGACCGAAGATGGCTTGGCTCTTCATTATCTTCATTATTATCGTCATCATCTTCATTATTATCGTCATCATCATCAGAGACCCGGATAATATGCGGATAATGATCAGTTGGTTCCATGAATGCAGAAAGATCAATGTTTAAAATGATTCCTGCAATTAAAAAAAAATTAATGTATTTCTACAAATATGCCAGTTTCAGTACTAACCTTGAAATTATGCTCCAGCAATTAATTCATAGTCATAGTAGACAAGTGATGCATATGGGGATGATGTTTTTCTGAACGTAGTGAAAAGATAAATTGTGCAACATTAAGGTGCAGATATGCATGTGAGCAGACTGTAGACTTTTGAGTCCTTTCTTTGCAAAAGTTACTGAGAAAATCTTAATCAAATAATATGATGAACACATGAAAAGTAGGCGCACGCTATATTTTTATGTATGAAAATTAAGCTATAACATATACGAGCATATGATGACACACATCTGAAGGAAAATAAATTTTGATTTTTCCGTAGGTGAGCCACATTACAAAGAGAAGCATCAAGCAAAGAAGAGAGATGCTTTACAACATTGATATCAGACATTTATTCCTATTCCTACAGTTCAACACCTTAAAGGCTAATATAGACAGGTCTGAATCCATAAGTCATAGTGGTAATTTAATTTGATTTGATTTATGACGAAGGGTGGATTAAAACAATATATCCATTTTAAAAACCTTATGAGCATTTCATCCAATTTATGAAAATTTAAAAGTACCAAACCAAGGAGTAGTACAAAGTATATTACCTAACTAGGAGACAAATAACAAGATGCATGACCGCAATAAAGAAAACCCTAACCGGTATATAACAAATCCAATGTTTATCATACAAAATAGCATAGATCCTATAATTTATATTTCCATTATATTTATATAAGAAAAATACAAAGTGATAATGAACTGTTTCACTTCTGTCAAAAATAATAATAATGAACTGTTTCACCATGTTTAAAATATTGTTTAAAGCTTTCCTATAGTTAGAGTGCATGTGAGAACAAGTCTTTGTGCATATATGCATGTCTCTCCATTTTGAAATACCATATGTATTTTTAAATTGTAGTACATTAGAGAGAATATATACTACACCATAAAATCCAACAAATATCACATAAAATGATGAATATTACAAAGAAATACAAGAAAAAGATTGCTAGAGAAACTTGCCTAGTTAAGTTCAGCTTGTCCAATGAAAAAGGATGAGAATCACAAAGGCAGTTAGAGCCACTCCTGCAATTAAAATGCAAAGGAAACATCATTAAGATAAACATATTTATGTATTAGGCTAGAGATAGGGGAGGATAAACATATTTATGTATCAAAATACAAATTGTGCAACATTCGGATAAAGATATAAAAACACTCATTAGCAGGCTCCAATTCATAAGCATAACTATAAACCTTAAGACAATTTGTTCTTTTTTTATTACTGCATCTACTAGAGGTAACAGAAGACCATATTTTTTAAAATTTGATAAAATCAAATAGCAATGTCATGTAATTTTCATGGAATAGACGACATAATAAACCACATGGAAATTAAACCTAGCACTATAATTTTCATGAAAAGGTGGCAGCAAATAGTAGAAATTTAACAAATTAACAGAAAATTATCCTTTAAAAATTCAAGAATTTTCTCAATATGTTTCCAGAGTGACTTTTTGATGTTTTCGGTTAGTGGTTTGTCTGTGTTAGTTATCTTTAACTAAAGAACAAGAGATCTAGTTTCAGGATTTAGCATATACAATTTCTAACTTCATAAAGGAGGTAAATATATTTCACAGACAGTCTTAAACTCAAGACAATTCTTTATAGAGCACTTTTCTCATTTTTGAGTGTCTGCTTTATGTTTGACTAATACATCATGCTATACATATTATAGCCGGAATACAGGACTATTTGTTAGAAAAGTGAGATTCCTGTAGTTCACATATATTAAGCAAGTCTAAGCATGTTGAAATTCTATCCTCAAGATGAATTGCTTAATATGGAATATAAAATAAGAACACAACAAAATAAATGTTTGAGAAAATTGAAGTGCATGATTGTTAGCAAGAAGGAATCTGTAAAATAAAATTAACCAGGAACCATTTTTCTGTTATAAGTTAAAGTAAATGAAGATAATGAATAATTAAGATGGCACTAACCCTATTGTGAAAATTGTTGAAGAAAATGGTACTAAAGACCAAATGAAAATAATGATAATATTCTTACACTAGCCAATCTTTGTTAGTTATTCGCTATATCTGGAATGAGAATATATTTGCTAGAAGACAGTAATAAATATCAAGTAGTTAAAAAAATGAAAAGAGGTATTTTATCCCTTGTATTATAATCTCTTAAATATGAGAAGAAATAAAGTAAAGCAGTATTTAAAATTGATTTTGGTTTAACACTCTATTAATTTTCTATGAATGACAGTAATTAAGGAAAAGAACATCATTATAAGATCAGATTATTTACATGACATTGACTAAGGGGATATACTGTTGAGGGATACTAATAGATATTAGGGGGTCAAGTTTAGAGCTAGTTATAATTAATACACATTTAGCAAACTACAATATTATAAAGCGGTCAAGTTATCAAAGAACATAAGGAAAAAATATGGAATACTTATGAATGCAAGTGTGTGATAAACATTTTAGATTGGAAATAAAAATGGAATGAAAATAGGACCGATAAAATTTATAAATTTTTATGATTGATCACAAATAATAATAATGATAATACTTTTTATGACAATATTAGTAATAAGATGATTATGATCTTCATGTTAAGAAATTATATCAATTAAAGATCAGAAGACTTGAATTCACAGGTTTTAAACTAGCTATAAATAGGATGGTGACTGAGTAAAAAGAGAACATCAAATAAAAATGGAAGATATGGCACAAGCGCGCGAAATTTAACTGTTAAACAATTGAAAAGCCTGAAATAAAAATAAAATTCACGATGAAGGAGGGCATGGTGCTGGTAGTAAAAGTCTCCATTCACTACAGAAACACTTTTTTCTCTCTCAGTAATAGGATTTATGGAAGAAACCACTTAATTTATCTGTCATTAATTAGAGTTTAGCAGTTAATGTATAGCCCTTAAACATTGTTAGAAAAGCAAGATTTCATATGCATGCAGTTAATTAAGAAGAAGATATGGTAAAATCCCCTCAGAAATAAACCCATAGGAATCTTGAAAAGGAGGATCATACTTGAAAACATAAGATTGCAATATTTGAAATAGAATGTAATCTATAATGCCCCCCACCACAACCCCCCCAAAAAAACCCAAAACGCACACACAACTAAAAAAAACCCAAAAAAAAGTAAACAGGAACTTTAAGTAAACTAAAAAGTTTATTAAAAAAACACCACATTAAAGAAGAACATGATGATTGATTGTGGAGCTTGATGTGATAAGCAAAGATTAAAAGATGCCAAGGATAGATAGTTTTTGAACTAGAGCTAACAACAAGATGCTAATCTAATTTTATGAGATCATAAAACAAAAATGGAAGGATATGCAAGAACGCGCAACTTTAAATGTAAAACTGTTTTTAAAAAACCCAAAACAAGTTACTCAGAATACCTCGAAACAAAATGAAACTTATGATGAACTAGATGTTTGTGAAAATTAAGCAAAAATCAGCATACTGTCAAATTAAGCACTTTATTTCACTCCCACGGTCCCACCATTATGATTTAGATCTGATCAAGCCTAGCTAGCTTCACAAACTCAGTATGAGAGAGAGAGAGAGAGAGAGAGAGGAAGGAATGGTAAATAAATGGATAATAAGCAAACTGAAAATAATAAAAGAGGAAGATCATATGAAGAAGAATAAGGTAAAGATGGAAAAAGATCATAACTAAGAAACCCTCTTCATCTGTCATTAGAGTTTCATAGTTGGCTTAATCTACAGTCCACTATAAAAAGAAATTATAAAAATGGCCCTCAGAGACAAACACACAAGGATCTCTCACATGAGGAACAAAATCTTGAAATCATAACTAGACAACAATGCTTCACATAGAAGCTAATCCACAACCCAAACAAATTAAAAATACTTTTAAAAAATCTAAAAACCATCTTAGAGAAAACCCCATAAGGATCTCTCCAAGTAGAATCAAACCATCAATGAAGCAAACGGATTGTTACATTGAAAACAAGATTATTTTCTGTAAAGAATCAGACTGAGCTCCTCTCAGAGAGAGGTTAGAGGAGAAAGGAGATGAAACAATAATTTAGCATAAGAAGAAAGAAAGAACTCTTTGTGCAAGAGAATAGAAGGGAGATGAATAGAAGGGATTAGCATAAGAAGAAAGAAAGAACTCTTTGTGCAAGAGAATAGAAGGGAGATGAACCTTTTTCTTGTGTAATTTGTATAAGGGAAGAGAGAAGCTGTTTACTATTTCTCTCTTTCTTGTTGAGAGAGTGTGTATGAGCAATGAGCATATATATAGGCACTATCCCTACTATTTTGGTAACAAATCTATGGTTGTGGATGTCATAAACCATTTGACTTTGTTCTTAAGTTTTTTCTTTCCCATTGTATCCCTTTTTTCTTTGGAGAGTTACCCAGAGAAATGGTACTTACATTGCACTTGAAAGTTCAATTTTATGTATTACTGGATTGTATAATGTAATTGAGATGGCTATATACAAAAGATATAAATTAGTAAAATGTCATAAGTAAAGAAAATTAGGAGGGAATGTGGTTTTCAAATATGCACTTTTGATCTGGGGTTTTAGCCTTTTTTTAAAAGTAAATATATACAACATAACAGTCTGAAAATGGCTGAAAGTCATTCTATTTGCAAATAGATACCTTATGTTTGATATAGAAATATTTTTTTTCCTCTTAACAAAACAACAAAAACTGCTCTTAACTATGGGAGGAATAAAGAAGCATGTATCTGAAGATTAAAAACTGCCCGTGACAACAATTAGATTAATGGAGTTGAGATTAAAACCTGTTTGTGAGAACATTGATGTTAAATGAAAATCAGGTCAGGGGGTTAAAAGTATTTTGACTTTTTTTCCGGAAGAGAGGAAGCATGACTTCTAGAATCCAGGAGACTGAAAGCAATTTTCCTTTGCTGTTATGATGATTACAGAGAGTATATTAACGATTAAGATAAAAATATATCCGAGAATTCATGGAAGTGATATTAACTTGATCGATGCGCTTTGCATGAGTCCATCTACGTCCACGCGCATGCATGCATGACACATGTATATTACAGAGAAAGAATTTATGTTATCGACGTGAATAGAAAAAGATTATGTAAAGATGATAATATGTAATATTTTCTAACATTACAATATTGAAAACTTTTTCAATAAACTCATCCTAAAAGGAAATGAAGGGACAATTGATAAAATCTCCATTTAGGGACTCCATCGGAATTGCCTTAGCAAAAGAGTATCCCTAGCAAGCATTGCTCATTTAAAAGTAAAACATATGTAAAATATATTTCTAATCAAAAAATAAAATTAAAAATATTCATTAAATTCAGAAATATGCAAGTGGGCGAAAGAGGAAGCGAATGGGGGTAGTCTAGTCTGTAGCCAAAGTACTTACTGTGAAGTAAAATCTAAAAGGTAATTTTGGGATTAACTAAGTACATCCATCAGAAATCTGGATGACTTTGGATTATTTATGGAAAGTTATTGTTTAATATGTGCCAAATAATTACTACCAATCTGTCAATGACTAGGAGAAAAGCGTTACAATTGACTTACCATAAATGGTTTCTTGTGTCCAACCTAACCCTAACCCTAAGAAATGACACTTAAACCAAAATTAGCAACTTAGTTAACACCTAAAATATTACATATGTTGCATCTCATAATTGGAATTATCAGTCACACCCTAGAAAATAAGAAAAGATCAGAAACTGCAACAATTTGAATAAATTTCAATGTGATCAAATTCTCAATTAAAAAAATTTATTCCCATGTTTTTACGGTATAACATAAAAATAAAATTTCAAGAATCTGGCTTCTTTGGTTCAAAAAATAATAATAGAAAAACATTCGCATAATTAACAGGAGCGTGAAATATGAAGTGGAAAAGTGGGTAATATAGCCTTTAACCAGATTAAGATCAGTAAAATTTAAAGGGTAATCTTGGAATTAAATACATTCATTCTAAGAAGGTAATGAAGGTAATCCTCATCTAATCATTACAAGTGAATACCATAAATAATTCTCGGTTTCCACCCTGAATCTATCGATAGATACTGACGCTTTGTCAAACTTGTCATATATACATGTTGATTTCCATAATTGAAATTTGGCAATAAATCAACTGAACTGCATCTGATAAATTTTTAAAATTTATGGAAAGGCATGTATTGACTTCCAAATCTTCGTACTTGTAGTCAATGCAGGACTAAACGGATGCTCACGCAAATTTGTTCATGTGTTTCTTATTTGAATCGGATTTTCTAGAACAAATTATAACCATGAAGGCAGACACTTAGGCTGTGAGCTAGTAATTTCATCCAGTAACATTCATTTCTTTTTTCTACCCATTTTAATCTGTCAATTTCTCCTACTCGTTGGATTCTGGTTTGGATGAATGCTGTGGCTCTGGATGAGGGCATAGAGTAGGAATCCGGTTATGTTACCTCCGACGAAAGTTTGGTTTCTGTTTTCTGTCATGAAACAGAAAACCATTTCCTTTGAGGTCTTTGCATCTGCATTCTTTCTGGGGCATTCAGTCTGCCAGTGGATCCATAGGATCCAAGCTATAGTTTCTTTCGAGTCGTTTTTATACATGTTGGCTTAAAACTTTTATGTGGGTGAATATATTTAACTTTCTAGCATCTCCTGTTGATGTTGGATCGCATTTCTTCTGGATGTTGCTTGGTCTTGCTTGCATTTCCAATAATTTGTTTCTGGATGAATTGGATATTATAGGCACAAAGTTTTGCAAGTTAAATATAGAAGATACCAGTAAACAAAGAGATTCAATGTAATTCAAGATGAAGTACACTAAGGAAAACACAAATAGCTGGACAAAGATACAGACGAGAGAATGCACAAGCAAACAACAATTTGGCAATATCATTCACCAATTTTAGAAGTCTGAATTTCACTCAGCATACAGTAAATATACCAACAAGGAACAATTGTTTTTCCAGTTTTCAAACAATTACGACGACAAAAATATTAACAAAACCAGCAGCTTTGTTTCTATAGTAGCAAATAACCTGATACTCAAAAATGTTGGCTTCAAGTGGGTCCATACCAGCTAACATGATTGCCTCCAAATTTCCGCTATCCATTCAGGAGGCCTCAGAAAGAGGTAAGTTTCACAGGAGCAAGCAACTCCATATAACGGCTGCTTCCACCATACATAATACCTGCATGGTTACCGACTGCTAGGTCCAGGGGCTCAACCTTTGACTGACCGCAACTATTCAACATTGGCTGTGGCCTACTAGACCTGAAGGTATCAACATTAGCTACAAGGAACAAGATTCTAAAGAAATGTCTCAACAATAAGACAGGTTGATTTCACCCAAAAAAAAGCCCTGAATTTTGGGAGTCCTGCACATAAACCCTGAAATTTTTTATCTCACAGAATTCCCCTGAACTTTAGGGTACCTCACAATATCCGCTGAAATTTAGACTTTTCTCAACGGAATGTATTGACAAATAAGTGAAATCTCCTTGAGAGAAAAGATCTTCAATTTGGGGGAGTACGTTCCTCTTAGTGACATTTTACTTATTTGCAAATTACATGTAGGGGTCCTGTTGAGAACTATTTATAGACTTCAGGGGGCTTTGTGAGACACTCCAAAGTTCAGTGTTCTGATGTATAAAAGTTCAGGTGGTCATGTGCAAATCCTGCCAAAGTTCACAGGGTTTTGTGAAATTAACCATAAGATGGAACTATTTTTGAAAGATACCTCAAGATACGGGGATCTGTTAGGCTGCTTGTACTGCTCCTCCTATGTGATGAATGCTTCCTCTCAGGCACATTGCTCTTGGATGACTTCCCCCTGCTGTACTTGTGACTGTGATGATCTTTCTTCGCCTTAGAACGGTGATGGTGGTGATGGCGATGGTGGCCTTTTACAGTGTGGGATGAAGAGGAAACAGGCGGGTCGTAAACCTCAGGTGCCCATTTTACAGTGAGTTTTTTGTCCAGACGAATTCCATGTTGTGCACGGCTGCCTTTTAGGGCTGGTATGGGCATTTTAGTCATCTGAAGAAAAAGTGGAGAAAAACAAAAATAGTTGTTAATATCTTAGGACAAAGTCAGCAATAACTTTTGAACTAGGGTATAAGGCAAAATTTCTTATATCTATATTAGTTAATTAGAAGTTTCCTTTCTACTAACACCATTTGAGAAATACTAAACATAACCAATGCATCCTGACCTTTATTACAGACTAATCAATTTATACTTACTGGCAGTGGCTGCACAAATGCAAGTTCGTCAGGTTCTGAGGAGTTGTCATTATGTACAGTCGTGCACAATAATCCAGATTCTGCATCAAATTTGACAACATATGACTGCAATGGTTCTAATGGTTCTGCACATGGAACCATTGCATGCTTGCTTAAACCCNNTGATCTTCAATTCTTCACTTTTATATCCCGGATTTGATGTTGGATTCCTGACAACTAAAGGTTCTGGAGGTTCATGAACATGTAGAGTTTGCCACAGTGAAATACCAAGTTCTTTGACAACTGAATCTTTGAAATCCTCATCTGACTCCTCACCAGTGGAACTGTCGAGATCCTCTAGAAATATTACCTTCCCATCCTCTTCATTGACATAGGAGGATTTCTCATGTTTTACCAGTGATTCTTCACAATTAAGACTGTCTAAACACAGCCTAGAGCCAATACTTGAAGAAACCGACTCATTACAAGATGTGGAACTACCCATTCAAGGACAGCAGTGATTAAACCTGCCAAGAGATTAGACCACCACAAGTCAGTGCAATGAGATATTTTGCTTAAGACAAGACGCCACATAGATGAAAATGTTGCTATTAACAGTTTTCTTTAGATAGTAGGAAAATATTGGAGGGGAAGTAACTCCGATTCTAGAAATATTAAAAACAATGTTAAATTTCTGTGCTATAAGACGGGTCAGAAAAACAACAAGTGAGAAGGAAGATTTGTAAATTAAGCTTCACAAAAGTGCAAAAGGCTATTATGTTGTAGATGCAAATATATTTCTTCAAGCAACTTATGGGATTGACGACCTAACAAATATATGATGCTAGCAACGAAGACTTCTTGTTAGATCTCATGTTTATGAGCCTATTGTCTAATCTTTTTTTTATGATTAACAAACAGTTCCTAACACCGCCTCCTAGTATTTGTGTTTGCTTGTTAGGTATTCTAGACAAGCGTCTTGTTGGATGTTGGATGGAATTGCACGCACGTTAACGATGACATTCAATAGAGGTTGGAGGAAATCGAAATGAAGCATGATGCCATTCAAGTCAAAGATACACCATCGCTTCATCCTCGCTATCAAGATCGAGCTAAATGAAGATTATCTGCTTTGGTTAGGTGTTTACTTTATGTGTTCATACTTAAAGCTCAAATCATACACATACACAATATTTCGTTTTATCGCATTATACGTCTTTTTAAGAAAATAACATGTTTTAGATTATAGACTTAATGATAGTATGATACTATTTTATGTCTTTTGAAAAGTCTATGAATCCACTTAAAAGTATTTCAAAACCTGGTTGGAATGATTTCATGAGAATAACATATTTAACGATCTCGTATTTTTGACCGTTTTGCAAAATAGCGAGTTTTTACAAATGAGATGCTATTTTAAAAATTTCTCTTCCAACATGTTTATTTTCATATGTATAAATATTCTCAAGTTTTACTATTTTTAGAGTTGTTTTACTATTTTAAAACGAATTTAGAAAATCAACTTTTCAGCAAAATTTAAGTATCTGTTGTATCAGTTTTTCAGTCGACCGAATGCTTTGATCGATAGACCGAACAATATTTTCAGTCGACTGATAAAACTTTTAGTCGACTTGCCAAAAGTAGTTTTTACAGCATTAGTTTTGTCAATCGATCAGTCAACTGACCAATAGAGTCAGTCGATCGAACAGTGACCAGTCGACTGAAACATGTTTCTGTTACTGTAACGGCTAGTTGATCAGTCGACCGAAAAAATCAATCAGTCGACTAATATACTCTTTTTCTGGTAACGGCTAGTTTTTGGCTGATTTGTTTTGTTTTGGTTAAGAGGCTATAAATAGCCATCAAGACTTATTTGTAAAAGGACTATGGAAGTATAACAGAGTTTTTGTCAATTTGTTTCAAGAGTTTTGAGAAAGTTGAAATGTGTTTGTTTATGTAAAAATAGTTTTACAAATAGAAAGATCGCAATTTCGTGTTTGAGGCGTTCATCCTCAATTCTCTAAATCTCTTTGTTTTTGAGAAGTTTTCTAAACTCTTCCTCTAGCTAAATAATATTTTGATTCTCATATATTTATGCTAGATTGTTTTAAGTTTGATTTTATTTTACTCATTGACTATACACACCCGCTTAGGGGTGTGCAACGGTCGGTTCGGTTCGGTTTTTATTAAAATTTGAACAACCGAACCGAACCGCCTATAATTTAAAACCGAACCAAACTGTTGCAAGTCGGTTCGATGTGGTTCGGTTCGGTTTGATCGGTTCTAACTTCATCAAATTTCTTATCAAACAACAAACTGTGTTAAAGAAAAAATATATCAACAAAGTGAGAGATTATGAAGCATTAAATACTAATATAATGACATTATTTTTAACCCATAATGATTCAGAAAACGAGTTCAGGGTTTGAGTCTTTGACTCTTTGGGGATGGGTCAGGTAGGGTTTGAGATTAGAATGGGTAGTATTGCATTATATTCGGTCGGTTCGGATCGGTTCGGGTTGAAAAGTTTTTAAACCGATCCGAACCGTCCTACTCATAAAACCGATTTTTCCGGGTCGGTTCGGTTCGATTCGGTCGGTTTTTTCAGTTTGGACCGAACCATGCTCAGCCCTACACCCACTTGAGCTTTAGTATTCCCCATCTAGTATAATTGGGTGGTAAGAGTAATTCATTAAGAAAGCTTTATATTTCGTTCTCACTTGTTTAGAAAACAAAACTCTTATCCATACTTATTGTAAACACGTTGTAATATACAAGAACACTTAGAGGAGTGGTCGGGAGAGACCGGGGTTGATTCCAAAAGGAGTGGATTGATTGTAAAGCCTAGGAAGAGGGTGTAAATCTATACACTTAAGGAAGTTAACACTGATAGTCCAACATTTAGAGAAGTGTGGCTTGTGTGATTAACATCGTGTCCATTGAAAAAGTTATCGATGATCTTTAAAAACTGTTTGTGTAGATTTTGAGATATAGTGGAAATCTCCTCGAGATGGGAGCGGAGACATAGATCGAGGGTTAACCGAACTCCGTGATTATATCTTGTGTTTGCGATTGTGTTTTGGCGTACTATTTCTCTTTATATCTTGTGCATGTTGTTTACATTGCCTATTGTCTCTTGCTTATCCTTGCATATTTCATTTTATATCATATTGTTAGGATAATTGCTTTATAAGTTTTAATTTGGCATCGAAATCGGGTTAAATTAGCAATTACCCTATTCAACCCCCCTCTAGGGTACTTTCACTTCTCACATACCAAATGCTTTCATTAGAAAAACAAAATGGTTTTGATTGAGTTCTTTCCCTTTAACCTCCAAAAAAGTGCTAAAACTTTGTGGATACTGAACTATCTCCCACTTTTTAAAAGGCTATCCATGTGTCCATTACGGTAATACTAACGTATAAAAATAAACCAGTAAGGACAGCATACATACATCAAAAAGGTCTACAATCTCTAAATGTATAAAAAGGCCTACGATCTTAGATTTACGGAGAGATTATGTGATACTTGTTAGAAGAAAGGTTTACTAGTGACTTTTGAAAGAGTGAAGGACTATGTGGTTCTCGTGTGTAACCAAGAGAGTTCATTAAATTTTTCCTTTTCAAATTAAATTTCAATTAGGAACTACTCTTGCTTACTATAATTGGCCTAAAATTAAAATTTCAGACATGTACTTTATCTTGGTAGTTGGTACAACCTAGAAACTTTTTACATGCACACGAACTGGATTAATCCGATGTTTACCTATCTCAAATTAAGTAGAGAGATAGGTTATTCTCTTTAGAATACATTGTTTATCCCACATCTTCATCAAATCAATTAATATACTCATTTTTTACTACCCCATTTATGTTAATGATCAACTTATGTTTACTTTAGAAGACTTCAGCTGTTTGAAATTTTGAAATATTTATTAAAACTCCATCAAAATAGGTGGCACTAGGAAATAAACCAAGTCTTATATCTAATTTACGCCATACATCAAGCACACAATGTTTTAAATATCGGCCACCATGTCCGACATAGCGGTCAATATGACGGTTTAGCCGCCACGAAATCCTTGATTTTAATGCGTATTACGTTTCTGAGGTCATGTCGGGGACATGTCGGAAAAAATCGGGTATGTCGGGTGCCATTGCGGCTAAGAAAAATCGGCCAAATTTCAGAAAAAGCGGTTTTAAGCTTATTGGGTCAAGTTTGAAAAAACCGACCCGACCCAATAAGCTCATTTAACTTTTCTTTAGGGTTTTTTTCCCCAAGTCAGTCGCAAATCTTGTTTCTGCCTCCCCTTTCTCCATTTCTTTGTCCCTGGAGCTGCTAAACCTATCATCTTCTTCTTCGTCCCGGGAGCAAAGGTAATGTCTCTCTCTCTCTCAATTCTTAATTTTCTCTTTTTCAGTCTCTCTCTCTCAATCTCTTTTTCATCTCTCTCATAATCTCATTCCATGTCAAACAAAAAAAGACAAGAAAGGTTATAAGCCTGCAAAAAGAGGTCTATTTCACGATAGCCTTTCTTCTCAGACAGCAATCGACCGTAGGCTATCTAAATTAAATCAGAATATAATTGTTGTTAGAATTTAACAAAGAGGATATTATATCAACCTATCCGATATGACAATCCGATATTTTTTTCATGTCCCCCGATATATCCCTGATTTCCGCTATCCGACATGAATTTTGACCGACCGACATGAACCCGACATCCGACATTTAAAACATTGCAAGCACATAAATCCATTTAATAGATCCAATTCAATCGATACATCATTAGTATATCAAGTGCTTATTGCTAAAGAAATACAACTCATATACAGTAAGGTAAAATGTTCTCTCTGATTTACATACTATGATATCACAAAAATGATAAATATTCCATGACATAATCACCAACATCAAAACCCTAAGATCTACAGTAGTGATTCATTTCATTTCACAAATAGAAGCTGCAATGTTCTACGCAAGAAATTCACTTTTAACAGTTAGAATTAACAGAATATAAAATAAATAAATAGCTAAACTCTACAACTCTTGACAAATTATGCAAAAAAAATTAAACTACACGATGAATCTCAACAGCTTCAAGATCTATTACCTCAATCAAGATCTGACTGCTCCAAGAACGCACAATCCGTCAAAATTCCTCCTTTCTCAGAGAAAAAGCAACAGAGATCTCAAAGAACAAAACGAAGAGCAAAAAGAACGAATCTAGGGCAAAGAATTAGCTGAGATTACCACGACGATTCCATTTCTCTAGCTTTTTAAAACGATTACTACTACTATTACTACTACTTTCATTGAACGAGATCTCGAGGGGAAGGAGCTCCATCGCAATGGCTCGAACCAAGAGGAGGCGACCGCCGACCATCGAAGGCATGGCCGATGCTCTTCAGATTGAAATCCTAATCGCTCCAATTTTAACCTAATTTAGAGAGATCGGATAGGATTCTTCTGGGCTTGGATTGAAGAGGATGGAAAATTTTAGGGCTTTTTTGAGATTTGGGGATGAATTTTCAGTGGGCGTGGAAAAGAGAATAAAGGGTTATTTATCGAAGCCAAGGTCAACGGAAAAGGGAAAACGACGGATTCAAGGAGGCCAACCGGAGAAGAACACGTGTCATTGACTAATGGATAGATTTCTGTAAAGGGGCTGTTTGTCTGCCTAAGAAAAAGGAAATAAAAGAAAAGGAAACATATTTCTAAGAAAAATAGGTTTTGGGATTGTTTGGTTGGCTAAAAAAGGAAGAAAATCAAAGAAATGAAGATGAGATGAGATGAGTTGTCACCTTATTATAGGATGATGTGAGTGATTTTTTAAGAAAACTTGTTTTGATGTTGTTTGGTTGGCGGAAAAAATAAGAAAATGAATTATAAGAAACATATTTCTTTGTATTAGGTTGTTTTTTTTTGTTTGGTTATTTCTTAAAAATAAGAAAATAGATGAGATGAGATGAGTTGTCATTATATTATTGGATGATGTGACCAAGACCATATGCAGCATGGGTTATTTGAAGAGATATTTGGTTGCAGCAGGAGTTTTTTGAAAAGGTGAATAAAAAAGACAAGGCCAAGGGGTGAAAAATTCACCCCGGGTATTTCTGACCTGGTGGGCCCCACCTCATTAAATGCATGGCAGGTTTATTAAAAAAAATTAAATAGAAGCTGCCCAATCAGAAACGGGCACGTGGACGCGTGCATGGAGGCTGCAGGTGCATGCCTGCCAGCTGCCGCGTGGCGAAATCTGATTGGGCGGCAATTTTTGTTTTCCTCCTTATTTTTAATTGATATTTTTTGAGATAAATACAATGAATTAATTTATAATTTTTATATTATTAATTTTCATTTTTCAAACTCTATAAATAGAGATTAACTTTGTGTCATTTGGACACCAAAAAAATTCTGAGTTTCTACACCCTATTCTTCTTCTTTCTACAATTTGAAGCTAGTTTCTTCATGGATCCTTCACAAAACTATCCTAATTTTCCATACAACTATAACTTTCCTAACCAACCTCAAAATATCCTCCCTCAACCACAACATCCAAATATACAACGCCCCGAAAATACTCAGAATAAGGGGATGCAGCCCAATTTTCAAATGCCGTATATGATGCAACCAAATTTCGGCATGCAATATCCTTATCTTCCTTACGGTTATCCTCCAGTTCCGGGAAGCAGCTATGTTCCCTCCCATATGAATTATCCTAACACGGAGCCGAGTGAGCCAGCGACACCCCGGTTTAGTAGCGGATCTACAGATATCCCAGAATTTTCCACCCAAATATCTTTGGGAAATGTTGGTGGGGATACTCCTCACAGTTTTCTCCCTCCAACCCAACAATCAGCAAAGAGATCAAGTTATGAAACTTGGACCACCGAAGACAACATACTTTTACTAACTGGTTATTTTCACGTTAGTAATGATAGTGAGTTGGGGAACAACCAAAAGGGTGAAACTTTCTAGGATAAAATTACACAGTACGTGAATGAGAACGCCAAAAGTGGAAAGGAGAGGATTGTGTCTCGGTGCCATAGTCATTTCAAAGACATCAACAGAAAGATATCCAGTTTCATTGGCTGCTACAGTACTGCATGTAGGGAGAAGCGTAGCGGTTGGTCCGATGAAAACTACATATCCAAGGCAAGAGAGTTGTACTTTGAGAAAATAGGTACGACGTTTAATTTGGTGGATGAGTGGAAGGTGGTTCGTAATCAACCCAAATATATGACAGGAGGAAATGCATCCGGTAGTAGTGGCTCTAAAAGAAAGAGTAGTGGTGAGGATGTTGAATCATCAACTCCTACCCTTGTACGTCCAGAGGGTAGGGACGTGGCAAAGAAGAAAGCTAGAGGTTCCTCTAGTAAAACATCTATGTCAAGGAAATCAAAGGGGGCAATTGAGGAGGACTTATCTAAGCTAGTCAGTGCTCATGAAAAATTTGAAGAGAAAAGATCAAGTACTGCTTCAGCTATGAATAACCTGGCTCATTCCAAGAATATGGAGATGTGGTTATTCTTGAAAAATAAACCAGATCGTGACGATGAAGATGAAGAAGCTTATAATATGTTGAGGAAGAACATGTTTGGAAAATAAGACCTTCTCAAGAAGTTATGATTGTGTGTTTTCTTTCTGATGTTTTTGTGTGCCGTTTGTTTAATTTTGGAGTTGTGTGGGTGCCTATGTTTGTTGAATGTATTAATAAAAGTGTTGTTTATGTTTGAATAAAATTGTTGTTTATGTTTCAATAAAGCCGATTGATAATGACTTCTCACTGCATAATAGTACAAAAGATACAATTACTACTCACTGCAAAAACAAACAAATGTTGAATTGACCTTTCACTGCAAAAAATACAAAGGATGAAATGACTACACCTGCATAATAATACAAAATATGAATTGACAACTATCTGCACATGCATGCCCTATGACACATGTCTCTGATGTTGCATGCCTTACGACACATGTCTCTGATGTTGCATGCCCTATGAGACATGTCTCTGCAATTGCATGTGAATTCAATTATTTGAACAACTACCCTTCATTATATAAACTGATCAGATGCACATCATAAGTATACCTATCAACATTTTAAAAATCATAGCATCCAATGGATCCTTTCCTAAATGAGTTTAGTCAAGAAAAGTTCCAACAACAATGCGAAATAGAAGAAAAAATACTTGATAGGTGTTTGCGTCAAAAGTTGGTCTCGTTGTGAAATTCATTATATCTTCGATCGATTACAATAAATTCAAAAGAAATAGTCTTTTTATAAGACTTCTCTTACACAACAAAAAGAAAATTACAACTTTTTAAAAACAAACGCAGGATCGTTGTTTGGATCACTACTTGCGTGGGATCTTTGCCTGTGCCGGGGGTGCGTTAGCCCGTGGACCACCGAATCACGGATTCTGATTGAATCGTGAAGGTTTTGGGAATTCTTCCTTCGTTTATCGAAGTAAGAATTTGAAGTGAATATCTTATCGATGTAAGATGTTCACTCTTCCAAAGATCAAGTCTGAGCTTAGATCTCTAGGAATCGCCAAAAGTTTCTTGAGGATGTTTGTGAAGAAGGAAGACTCTCTCTCTTGCTCCAATTCACCAAAAGCTTAAACCTTTTCTGCTCTAATCTGCCCCCTCCCCTTTATTTCGTGTCTAGGGAGGTATTTATAGGGGTAGGAGTACACAACAGTTGAAACAGGGGCGAAATAACCGATCAGACGAACCATCTTTGGCCGCTGCAGTCTACACTGCCGCGGCTATTAGCGCGGCAGTGTGGACTGCCGCGGCCAAAGGGGTGGTTACCAGCACGTTCCATCGTGCTTGAAACCGTTCTCCCACGACCTTTAACCACCTTTTTCGTGGTTTAACTGCTTTTCCACATCAGCACACGTTCTATTTCTGATACTCCGCCACGTGGACTTTAAATAATCATCAGATAACTGCATTATAACTGCTTTAGCACGCCCTTTAATGACCGCGGCACTTTAGGTTGTCGCGCCTTAGCCGCGGCACGATATGCTGCCGCGCCTTAGCCGCGGCACCGCTGTCGCGCCATAGCCGCGACACCATGGGCTGCCGCGCCTTAGCCGCGGCACCATGTCCTACCGCGCCTCAATCGCGCCGCCGTGTGTTGCCTGTTGGTGTGTACATTATTCTTCCATGTTGTTTCGCTTCCTTTGAATCATCCCATTTTGATTAAGAGAGCGGCGTTTATCGCCTTTTCTTTGCCTTGAGTGTATTTGGATGTCTATAAGCATTTTTTGACGCCTACAGATACCCCCTCTAAAGTATCTTAGACTCATCATTTTTGGAGAGGAGTCTGAGACACTTTGGATATGATAAGTTTTCCTTGTAATTTCTTCAGTACTTTGTTGAGGAAGTTGCGTAACATAGTCTGTGGATGGCTTCAATTCTTGAATTCTTCATTTTTTAGTCTATTCAGTGCTTTGTAGAATAGCTAAAATTCCTCAGGTGCTGCGTTTATCGTGTGGACGTTGTCGAAGTCTTGAACTTGAACTGCCGTCGAAGAATAGAGAAATAGTTTATACTCATATACTCTATTGGAGTGTTCGGGAAATAGTTTAACCTCATATACCCGTTAGGAGGTTCAAGGAGATGCAGTTTATACTCATATACTCATCGGAGTGGTCGGGAAATAGTTTACCTCATATACCCGTCGGGAGGTAATCAGGTTATCCCTAAGAATATTCTGAGTGGAAAACAGTTTATACTCGTGTACCTATTGGAGTATTTGGGTCTCTTTTTTGTTGGTAGAGATGAACCCAAAATCGGAGAGGAAGAATTTTATATTCTATCTCCTGGTCTCTTTTTTATTGGTAGAGATAAACCCAAAAAATCGAAGAGGAAGAATTTTATATTCTATCTCCTGGTCTCTTGTTTGTTGGTAGAGATGAACCCGAAATCGGAGAGGAAGAATTTTATATTCTATCCCCTGGTCTCTTTTTTTGTTGGTAGAGATAAACCCAAAATCGGAGAATAAGAATTTTATATTCTATCTCCTAATGCAAACGAAACTCAAAGTGGGATCTCCACTTAAAGAATCTGGACGGGTTTGAATAATCCTAACTGTCATAAGGTTTGATTATTCAATTGAAAGTGGACCTCTCGTTTGTGGAATGAATCGAGAAGAGATTTTGGTTATGGTCCTAACTGTAGTAAGGTTTGACCAAGTGGGAATTTTGAGACGATCCTGACTGTTTAAAGGTTTAATCGCTCAATTTGTGGACCTCTCATTCATGGAAGGAATCGAGAGGGGATTTTGGTTTTGGTCCTAATTGTTTAAAGGTTTGACCAAGATGGGAATTTGAAACGATCCTAACTGTTTAAAGGTTTGATCGTTCAATTTGTGGACCACTCGTTCATAAAAGGAATTGAGAGGGGATTTTGGCTTTGGTCCTAACTGTTTAAAGATTTGACCAAATGGTATTGAGACGATCCTAACTGTTTAAAGGTTTGATCGTTCAATTTGTGGACCTCTCGTTCATGGAA